ATTTTACGTTGATCATAAAACAATGTTCACCTTGTCGATTCATTTTCCTATTGTCTACTCACTGTTCGGTATGTTACTTATGTCTCTCCTTATCCCTGTTCAATAGACTATACTGTTTACCTTGTATAACTTTCCTTGTATAGAGAGAACAGTGGTGCCCCTGTAGTTATCACAGTTGCTGAGATCGCCTTTCTTTGGTAATTTGATCAGTAGTCCTTCTTTCCAGTCTACTGGTACTTGTTCCTCATCCCAAATCTTATTGAAGAGAATGTGGAGTATCCTTGCAGTTGCTGTTACGTCTGATTTCAGTACTTCTGCTTGAATGTTGTCTGGTCCTGTTGTTTTGCCACTCTTGATTTATCAGACGGCCATGATGATCTCTTAAATTGTTAGTGGGCCAACATCTATTAAGATGTACGTGGGTGCTACTTCGATGTTCGGTGGGTTCATTCGGCTGATGGATTCAAGAGTTCTTTGAAGTTCTCCACACACCTGTTTCGTTTCTCCTCAATGTTGATGATTACTTTGCCTTCCTTGCCTTTCACTGACCGTTCTGGTTTACGGTAATTTCCAGAAAAATTCTTCCTTCCTTCTCTTGCAACCTTTTCCGCCGTCATTGTTAGATCTTTCACATTTTTACATTTGTCGGTTCTGGTTATCCTCTTCACTGACCTGTTTAGTTCTGTGTATCCAGCTTTTGCTTCGACTTTCTGTGCTCTTTTTCGTCTGGTACTGATTGCTGCTTTCTTGTTCCTCCTTTCTTGAATTTTATCCAGTGTGTCAACTTTGAGAACTGTCCCGGTCTCCCATATTGTACGAATATTCCATGAACCTAAATTATTGATTGCTCTGCTTGTCAGAATGAATATCAGCTTCGTAACTTCCGAAAGGAACTCGGCTTTCATCATTAAACGTCACAACTTCTCTAAATGAATACCTTATAAATTTCACGGCAGATTTTAAATGTTTTGAATTATTTCTGCTTGTAAGCGTTTTTATAGAGCTTCGTTGAGATCTTTCATATAGAATGTATGGTTCAAAGATTATCCTACAGTGTATAATCAAAGACTGTCCCAATTCTTACCTGACTATCCCTAAAGAATGCGATATTGAATAGAACCAGGGACTAATATCTGGTGGCTTCGTCTTTTGAGGTTTCGTATCAGAGGGCCTGTGTACATACTATTTCTTCCTAAAGTAGCCAACTGTAGTGGCATTGGATCCTAATACGAGACGATGCAGGAAATAGACATTCAACATTTAACAAGGAGAAAAACCCAACGATGAAGTGGGCTGGAATAATTAATTAAATTAATTGGCATGGCCTGGCTGTGCAGGCGTGGTCACTGCTGAATGTTTCCTTATATCTTTTATTCGTATTTAATATATTGTTCTATATCTAGCTTAAGTTTGTTCTTTATCATGTATTGGTAATTGTTACAATCTAGTGAGTTTGTGTAGACGATGATGTGACTTCCACGTAAGATCTTATAGATCAGGCAGTTATATCGTGACAAATCTATAATTCTAGGATTAGGTCTATAATTAGCGCAGTACTAATATCACAGTAGACCATATTTTTTCACAACCACTAATCCTTTCCCCCAATTGTGTCTTGTTGTTTGAAGTGACTCGTGATTTTTTGAATAACTTCGTCGAATTTGCCATGTGATTCGTCCTTCATACGGTTCTCGTGGTCAGCTTTTTGAGTGTTACTATTTTGGTCATACTGGTGAATATGACTGTATTTCCATTATCCAGTGAGTCACGAACACACACAAAAACCGTGCACAATATTCTCTGAGCCCTTTTCTCGAGTCCACCCTCGAATGTTTTACGAGCCTAGAGTTAGGTTATTTATTAACAATCATTTCCAGCATCGAGAACAAAACTAAGCGTCTGTGTAGTTATAGTATATGTCCAATATGTCGAATAATCTAATCTCACAATAGAGATAGGCGTGAAACTGAAATTCGCAAAGCAGAGATATGTTTAAAAAGCGATCATTTACTGAATAATATGGATAAATTAGTTATAAACCTGAACGTATGAGTTATGTGTGCCGCCTTGCGCGTCTGTCAGTCTGAAATAAAAAACTCCGTTCAATAATAAAGAATAATTGAAACGTATGATAGCTGCAAATGCGGAACCACGAGTACGCTATATAGGAATCATTGAGTTCAAACAAGTATTAGACGATGACACAAAATTGAAAATAACTGTTAGAGGATTTGATAAAAAGTGATTACAATAAAAGCTGCAATAAATGTTACGAGTTTATGTAAATATTTTTGAGTGTTAAACGATCAACTTACGTAAATGCGTATAAATTGCTAGAAATGCGACTGTTTACTGATTATTATTGAGTAGTATTGTGGTGTGAGCTACTTATATTGACATAAGTAGTATATAACGTGCGTTAAAAGATCGTAATGCTCGGCAGCAAAAGATGGCGAAGACCAAGAAAGGTGGAGCGAGAACATAATGCAATTTGTAAGAAAACCTATGAACAATGGAATGGGAGACAATGGATTAGTATTTGCAACTTGAACAGTACAGTTTGATATGATGTATTGATAATTTGCAAATTGACGATTGACTTTATGGTATTCAGATTTTGTTGACATAGTTTGTAATTTTCGTGCTAAATACATTCGATTGTCCCCACCCGTGTTCTTGTTCACTACATTTGGTGTCGCTGCCAACCGGGAGAGGAGGAGGGTGCTGTTCTGCGGACGCCGTTGCGGGCCTGGAGTTGAGGTGCCAGTTGGAGCAGTCTGGTGCGGAGAGGTGGCGTCTGGTGGAGTGTTCTGGCGGAGCGGCGTTGGCTGTAGCGGGTGCTGTCGACGGAGAGAAGCGGTGGGACGCGCGGCTGCTGGGCGGACATCGGATGTAGATGGCTCGGCAGGCCGGTGGAGTGCGGGTGTTAAGCGTCCCAGGTGCCGGGTGGATGTCGGTCGTTGTTGCCCCGGCAGGTCGACGGAGCTATGGAAGTCAGCGCCGCAGACTCGACATTTTGACGGAGAGCGTGGCACAGGCTGCAGAGACGGAGAATGTTGCACGGCGAGCACGAACCACCACAAGAACGACTGCTTTAAAGGGGGGGACGAGTGTGGTGTGAGCTACTTATATTGACATAAGTAGTATATAACGTGCGTTAAAAGATCGTAATGCTCGGCAGCAAAAGATGGCGAAGACCAAGAAAGGTGGAGCGAGAACATAATGCAATTTGTAAGAAAACCTATGAACAATGGAATGGGAGACAATGGATTAGTATTTGCAACTTGAACAGTACAGTTTGATATGATGTATTGATAATTTGCAAATTGACGATTGACTTTATGGTATTCAGATTTTGTTGACATAGTTTGTAATTTTCGTGCTAAATACATTCGATTGTCCCCACCCGTGTTCTTGTTCACTACAGTATGAAACAAAGCACTTAATTATTGGAGGGATGAGAATAAGGACAGAGAACGTAGACAGACATATTAGTGTACATGCCGGTGAAAACACCATTATTGTAAACTTTATTCGAATAATGAAAAAAACACGTATAGAATAGTGTTAAAGTGATGGGTGCGCCGAAAAAATCGTGAGTTTGGAGAAGCAACCAACAAATGCTGAAAGTTTTACATCAGTTTTAAACCCATTGAGAACCTGAAAACATTGAATGGTCATTTCATCCTGGCATAAGACTCCTCAACAGTGCGCGTTCACGATCTCGCATGCGTGATTCTTACCCAGTACCATCGACGTCGCGTGACCGTTTAAACTCTAGGCCACTGATTCGGTATCCAACAGTGTCAGGCAATCCACGATGTTGAGGGACAGTCCTCCATTATCTTCATTGAGCAACTATCTCAAATCAATCCCATACTAAACCATCCTATACATTGCTAAAGTGACATTATAGTCTAACACAAGACAGAGTTTATCATAAGTTATCGCTTCAGGAGAGAGAAAAACTGTCGACTGATACTAGACAATGTTGAACAACATTACTCGGGTGGCCATCTCGAAGGGGGTTCAATAAGGTTTCATAATTGGGCAAAAGAACATACTGTGTAAATTAGGTTCCCAATTTTGCATTCCTTGTGACGTATAGCCTGATATATGCAGTTGGTCCTACTGATCACTGGATTTCAAGGAAGGGACAGGAATGGCATGAGTTCCCACAAAATAGTACTGTTATTTCATATACTGTCCAAATTGTTGAAAAGCTTAGTGTGCGCTGAAGTGAGACGTGGGAAGACGGCCCACGTGTGAATTTGTGGAAGTTCTAAGAACCGGAGAAAAAGCTGAATATATTCCTGCCAATCATTCTTTAGTAGATTATTCCAGAATCTCGACGTGTAGCTTAACTAATGAAAAAACACCTTCTATGACGATTAGATCACTACAATGTCGATTTTGCTTTTTCTAATAAATATAAATACCTGGAACGTTTGAACCATATTCGGCAGTGTTTAAAATAGTATTCCTCTTACTTGTCTTCTGTCTTCTCGTCTGCGACTTGAGTGGTTCTAGAGTTCGAGTGCTCAAGAATTTACCTTCTAGATATGACATGTTGCTGAAAACCACGCATTCAGCAATGACTAACCAAACTCAGTGTCTCCCTCTTTTATATCTGATAGGTAATTCTAATACCTTTATCAGCACATCATAAACCATTTCATTACTTTAGTTTTCGAGAATAGCTTTATTTTGGCACAATCGTTAAAACATAATTTGGAAAAACGACCGTTTGTATTTCTTCCAAAATTTTGATCCTTATTTCATCGCTTCGTTGCACATAATAAGAAAATTTCTGTTTTAAGCGGTGTCTGCCAGTTGTAACAACCCTACTTTTCTGGAATAAACAATTAGTTGTGACAAAATTATTTGAACTTACAAATAACAATTGAGTTCACCGGGAATGGTTAAGTTTTTCTTCTTTGCTACGTTGCCTGATACTGGAAAAACTCGGAATTAATCTTTTGTACGATGATAAGTGTGAATATATATTGGATATTAAATTGCCTAAAATTCTTCGTTCACATTTTCTATTGAATAAATGTTCACAATTCGATTTCTTCAAGGTCAACTGGTCGAAAATACATCCTAAAGTACCTTTTTGCTCATTGTGTATGTCGTACCGATGTGATGATACTATGACAACATAGTGTAAAGTAGTTTATATTACTTATGCAATATTTTTATACGGTTCATAGAGCGTTGATTTGTAAACGTTTATGGTGAAAAGATGTCTTAACAATCATATATGGTTGCCTAAATATATGAGCTATAAAATCTTGGAAAACGAAGTAGAAATTGACGGCTACTGTCCTGGAGAGTCACGTTGTTGGAGTCCTGTAACACCATTTAGGCGCGAAAATACCCTTCGTATTGCACAACACGTTATTATAACGTGATGATAAACTAGATTCAACATACATATAACGTTAATCCGTGTATTTTTCCAGTCATCTGCCTGTACAGCTTGTTTAATTTGGTCGCTTAATTTATTCACTGTCCCACACATTGAGTTCTACGTCGCAGTACTGCTTTATAATATGAGATTAGCAACTGTTGGATTGGCGAGCTTATACATCATTATGTAAACAAGATTTTGTCCTGTTGTTTGTTTGTTCCTAACCAATATTGGTTCTAGAAGTATCGACTAAAACTGTCTGTTTACGGTGATTAGTCATTACCTACGTTAAGCTTGTAAGTTGTAATATGTCAGGAATATGCGTACAACTGTTGATCAGTATAAAGTTAACATTTCTATTTTCAACACATGAATAAATAGTTTCCAACGGTTTGACGTCCAGATACGTTGCCAACGTATGTTAGGAAAATGATCAGTGTTATCATTTCTTAGTTCTTTACTTTCTACTAACCACTCAATTTTTCAACATTTATTATTAGTGTCTCTTTAACCTCCTATTCATATTTAGGGTGTGACTTCTTCGGATAAACTGGTTTGAGTAATCATAGTACTCATGCTTATATTTTTCACTTTCGTTTCGTTCGAAACGTTGTTGAATGCTGTCTTTAATTAAATATGATAGTTGTCTAAATTTCTCATGGATTATTTTTACTATGAACCACCTGCACCTTGAACATTATGGGATTTTCTCCTTGGTTTCTCTAAGAAACATATAAGCTCAGTTGAAACACCGAGATCATATTTACTAGTTTTTGGTAGTATTGCTTTCTTTGAGCTAGATGGTTTAATTAGTTGACTTTCGTTATTTTAGATTGTATTAGCACTAAAACCATTTTGACTAGTCTTCACAGATTTTAATACTGATTATCTTCTCTCTAACCGGTTTTTTCGATTAAACTGACTTACCTGTCTTGATTCGATAAATCTGATTTAAATCGATGGTGATTGCAGATTGTCATAAATCCCATGCGTAGACATAAAAGGTGGTGAGACTGTGATTTATGGACAACCTGTTATCGATGCTGAAATAATCTTGAGATCCAACCATTCACTGAAGTCAGAAGAGGCTTATGTATTATTGTGAGGGAACTGGGTTAGAATTCGGAGTTGGAAAATGCGGTTAGTAATTTGAGTTAAGGTTTTCACGAACTGAGATCAGCTATAATGCGGGATACTGTCTAACCATATAGTTGATTGATTCTTGCGCCGAAATCCAGGACTTCCTAACTGATTCGTGCATATATTATAATCGCACTTAAGACAACATTTTTGTATCTTGTATTAACAGTGTTTTGATGAATTTAGACTCATCTTACTTGTTTCTTTAGTCGCTATCAACGTAGAGCTTGAGATAGATGTGTATTACCCCAAGTCGCCATACAGCAATAACACAAGTTTAAAATAACAAGATGGATTGCAAAACATATCCAAATAATGTAGTTCCAATGATAATGGAAAAGTTTAAATATTGATAAATCGTTTCGAAAAGGCAGTGGAAATTAGTGTATGGAGGGATATTAGGATTCAAGATCGAGATGTGAGTACATCGGCTCCATTGTGACTGATTCTAACCCAAGTTACACAACTTCTGCAACCAATAATCGTGGTTACGACACAGACCGCATTCCACATCTAACAGCATGGCTCAGATCAATAGCCGGTAACTTCGTGGATCAATGCCATTCTCTCGTTCAATCACTCCTAACTTCCTCCTGACCTACTTCTACACCAGCAAGCATTACCAATTGAGTTAGATGGTTTCTAAGAATGCGTAACATTTTATATTTAATGTGGTCATCGCTGTCGTATCTTTTGATGGTGTAATACAGTTTTAATAACCCGACCAAAGATATCACTTAAAATATTTACTTCATTTTTATTTTCGTTTGCAACAGGTTGTAAATCTGTTTTCTTTTTTTTCTTCCAAATCTTTCAGTTCCTTCTTAAACTACCATGTCATCAACATTGGATCATTTGAAAAAACATACTATTATCGTAGCGGACACTGGAGATTTTAATTGTATGTAATCAATTTTATGATTTAACAAAACAACTCTTATTTTCACTTTATTATTATTTACAGCTATTAAAAAGTATTTACCAATTGATTCAACAACAAATCCATCTCTAATATTATCTGCATGCAAATTACCACAATATTCACACTTGTTAGATTCTGCTATTCAATATGCTAAGAAAGAAAAACAGTATGTTTATTTTTTTTAAAAAAATAAACCGTTTTTAGAACATTGAATGAACAAATTGAATTAGCATTAGAAAGAATATTTGTATTATTCGGTTGTGAAATATTGAAAATTGTACCAGGACGTGTATCTACTGAAGTGGATGCTCGGTAACAAAACAACAATAATAATAATTTTATTTATTCTTATGTTCTTATAATTATCTCTTATAGTTATTCATTCAATGTACAAAAACAAATAGAAATAGCATGTCGTCTTATTTCAATGTATGAAGAATTAGGATTTTCTAAAGAACGTATACTTATTAAATTAAGTTCTACATGGGAAGGTATAAAAGCTGCAAAAATATTAGAATCACAATATGGTATTCATTGTAATTTAACATTAATGTTTTCATTCTATCAGGTAATTAAAACAAAATGATGATATGACTCTAAAGTTATGCTTATTTTGTTGTAGCATCTTTATTTGTAAAATATTTTACAGATTCTTTTATGAATTGATATTTTTACGTCTTTATTAATGAGGAAGTGACTTTCGTTTGTTCTTTCTGCTCAAGAATATGTTCTATTCAGTTCTCTTTAACCAGTTCCTTCTTGGGTTTGGGCAACCGGGAAGTATCTCAGCTTTCACATAAATCGAATGATTTATGTGGTGCTTATCTATTTGGTGCCTCCTTTGTACCATTGTTTATGTGTTTAAATAAATAAGCAACCAGTTATAGATAAGTTTAATAAATGATTCGGTTAACGTGATATATTGATGGTCTTGTGAAACTTATTCGATTGACAGTTTGGGGCGGCCAAACCAAAACGTGGTATCAGTGCTTGAAGTCACTAACTTCTAGTCCGAGCCATGTTGGTAGTTGCGGACTACTTGGTTGGGATCCGCGTGACTATCGTAACCAGTGGTTGGAGACTCTGTGTGACATGGCTCAGAATCGATCACAATGGCGTTGGTGTATACACTCTCTGTCTTCCCTTAAACTAAGAGATTAAAATCGCTTCATATCTTTCTGCGTACTAATTCTTTCTTCCTGTGCTATATCCCTATATGCAGCCTTTCTTTTATATATTACCACCTCTGAATTAACTACTTTTATGAATCCGGTGTTCATCTTGTTGTGTTAATGAGGTATGGCAAATTGGACCGATGCATATATGTGTTTGGTCCTACGTTGTAGCTGACTGACTGATTCGATTGAGATGGTTTAGATGTGTTACGTATTCTCAACCATTTACTACCGTAATGCATAATAGATGATGGAATAGAGATAGATTGGGAGAAAATTGAATTCGGCCGAAAAAAACTTTTTATCAGTCCATGAAGTCACTGATCAATAAATTCGGACTATCTAACTTAGATTTGCTTGATAACCGCAGTCAGTGGAGTGAGGACGTTGCATGATATGTTTAGTAAACAGTCATGATGATAGATATACATTCACTCTTTATCTGACCCTTCGTCTTAAACATCAAATCTTGTTGTTTTTTTGTTCAACAAATTGATCTTGTCTTTTTGATGCATATCGCTCACTACTTAATTATTCTCATTGTTGTTAATATCACTTATTTCGATCAGTAGGCTATTCATTTCACCAATTTGATTTCGTTATGCTAATATGGTATAACGGACTGAGTGTTATGATGAAAATAGACATTCAAAAACGAAAACACAGCAATTCACACAAATAGGAGAAAAACAAAAAAAATTTGGTGTTGAATGTTATACCTAGAAATAATATGTATTTTTGGATAATCTTCTGGAAATCCTGGACCTAGATGTTGCGTAAATCGGAAATTGCCAAAAAGATTTACTTGCTATGTAATACGTATTTATGTGTTGAATATATGTTCATAACCACTGAATGACATATAGTGTTGAAAAATAATTAGATCCATACATCGTAGGCTACGTGAGGTGTTAATCATTGATGTTCATAATAAAGAAATAGTAAGTAATTACATGTGTGAATGTCAATAAGATTATGGGAATCATAAGACGAATTGTTTATAATTTAATTTATCAGGGTATGAAGAAGGATTCACTACACTATACTTCTGTACATATAAATCAGTTTGAAAACATTTAATGATATAACAGTCTCTCTACAAATCAAAATAAAAGTCAAGTAATTTCACTACTGATAATTTTAACTTTCCAAATATACAGTTTAGTAAAAGCATCTCCAAAAGTTTGTATAAAGAAACCTTTCTTGCGGTTCTTTTCACATATCTGTCACGACTGATACATAAAAATTTATAAGTGTAATTAGTGGTGACTCTGAAAAAATGTTATTTACTGAAATTTATTAAATCTTTAAAGCTGCAAATTCAATATTTATCAGATGGAGATAATTATCCACCTCCTATAATGGACGAAGGGTTCTGCAAGATCATAGATCGATTGAAGTTAAACATTATTACCGTAGGATGTCGATTCAATGGTCTAGAAGTTAGACGTTCACGTGTGAGACCAAAGTTCCTGGGTTCAAGTTCCACGTGCAGGATCGTGGATCCGCACTTCTGAGGCATCCAATACTAGAACGAAAGGGTTGTCCACTGCTTTCAGGTCTTCAATGGTGGTCTAACTTAGATTTATAAATTCAACTGTTGAAATCCTAACATGTATGAATGCTTATTATTTAAAACATTCATACTGATTACTTGTTTATGATACATAAATTGATCATAAAAATGCATTCAAAAAGTATCTTTAACCAGTACAAAAACTATATTACTGGTCGACCAAAGGTTTGTACTCAAATTTTCTAAATCTGATATCGAAACATCCTCAACACATATATGTATGCATACTTGTATCAGGATGTGTATGTACATAATTAGATATCAGTTCTTAGCGTTTAGTATTATATCCAACGGACATGGTTTATTCTATCTTCCAGAAACATCAATTTATTCATTCATGTCAATTCACATTTTTTGACCCTGTCAATTATTCGCTTATTAACTTTGACTGCTAGTATAGGAGGCTATATGTGTGCACTGCTTATACTATTTATCACATGTCTCTAGCTTACTTTTTTCTGACTATAAATGTTGAATCACACTCACTCGCCTTCTTCGCTTTTGCGTATCTTATTCTGAACATCTGTCTAGATAAACGAATGCTTGAAATAAATTTTTCCAACACAACCCATTTTTGACTTTATATTACCACCGTTATACGTGGGGTTAGTCTAGGGTAATATACAGAGTTAAATGGAAGATTTATATTCGAGAATGTTCCTTTTGTTTTATTTAACTCAGATATTTTGATAAATATATTAAAATAATTCATTTTTAAATGTATATTACTTTAAATTTAATAGGCTATAGCTTGTGCTCAAGCTAATGTAACATTAATTTCACCATTTGTTGGACGTGTACTAGATTGGTATATAACTAAATATGGCAAAAAAGAATATACTAGAAATAATGATCCTGGTGTTAATTTGGTTACTCGTATTTATAATTACTATAAAGTTCATGGTTATAAAACACAGGTGAGCTAATGAATTTTTTTATTTTAAAATAATTATAAATATATGTATACAGATTAGGATGGTTTTTGAGCCAGTGAAGCTGTTTGATTCCTTAAAAATGATGTGGACAAATTGGGACTCGAACTTATAACTTACCAAGGTTTGAATAAAATTGTGTAAAGCATTTTGTTCAAACTAAAGATAACGAAATCTCAGCACGCATACAGAAGGCTCGACTAGCTTTTGCCAACTTGCGTCATTTATGGCGTAGACGAGATATCCGTCTATCAACCAAAGGATGTGTTTACTGCTCAGCAGTTCGTTCCGTTCTACTTTATGGCAGTAAAACATGGCCGGTAAGAGTAGAGGATATTCGTAGGTTACTAGTATTTGATCATAGGTGTCTTCGAATCATTGCTCGTACATCCTGGGACCATCGAGTAATTAACGCGGTTGTTAGGAAACGAGTAATAGGTAAGGATGGTAAATCAATTGGTGAAGTAGTGTAACTTCATTAGTTGAGATGGCTGGGACACGTGTTACGTATGCCCAACCACCGACTGCCCCGACGTGCGATGTTTTCTGGTGTTGGAGTAGGTTGGAAGAAAGCGAGGGGCAGCCAGACGAAAACATGGCACAAGTCCATGAAGTCACTGACAAGTAAACTGAGCCATGTTGGTAGATGTAGACTACCTGATTGGAGACCGCGAGATGATAGCAACCGATGGTTAGAGATCATGAATGACATGGCTCAAAATCGTTTGCAATGGCGCAGGTGCATCCACTCTTTGTGTTCTCCCAAATTCTAATCTTTTGAATCCTTCATGTCCTTTTTTCCTCTTTCCAAATTTATTTCACTGTATTATACTCCTTGAATAACATCTTCAGGCCCTAACGTTTCGGATTTCTTTTTATACTCTTACTATCTCTACCACTATGGGACTTGAATCGACAACTGCATCTCTGTGCTAATGTTGTGTGTCAACTCGAATTGATGTACATACGTACGAAGTTCTACGTTGTTGCTGACTGACTTATATTAATCTCCAAAGCTTGTTAGGTTCGTGGTAAAATTTAATGATCTTGGATTTCGTTAGATTTTAAACTGAAACCCAGTAGATGTTCAGTTGTACTCCAGAAATAATATTAAAAGTAGAAAATCTTGAAAACAATAGATTAAAATAGAATAATACAGCGTTTGGCATGAACGACCGTTAGAGGCGTCATCACTCTTCGATATAAAGACTTTTCAACTTTCAGATCAGAGTTTAAATGATCTTCTCTGTTTGGAGTTTTATAGCAAGATTCCTTTTTTACGGGATGTCACTAACCGCATGCCCAACCCTCCTCTTTTACTTGAGCTTGAGGTAGAATAAACGGCACATGTTCCATTTTATTTACATTTGCGCCAACTAAACAAAACCTATAGGATTCAGCTTACTCGCGAAGTACTAATTTGATTAAATCGACTAGGAGCCATATTGTTTTTGTGGGAGGAATGGCGAAATCGAAATAAGTGTTATGTACTTTTAATCTGAGTTCTGTTGAGTGGAAGCTAAGTGCCTAACTTAACTTTCGTTGTAGAAAACGTTATGATTCGTTCTCTGTTAAGAGGTTTCTGTATTTTAAATAACGAATTTCGTTACAACCTGACATCAAGTGAAGTAAACATTAAAACCTCATTAACACATGTTAGGTGTTTGATCGTAATTGGGTACTTGTCTTCAGCGTACACCCACAACGCATGCTTAATGTAGAACTTAGGATTTCCATATATCACAACAAACACATTACCATTCAAACCACTGAAATAAAACTCAATGTTACATGTTTCTGAAGTTAATCATCTTTTTTCCCAGCATTTAATGCATTCGGGTTTTTTTAATTGTTTTATTTTGTCATTCCAAACCACTGACTTTTTTTATCATAACCGTTTAGAACCAGAAAACACTTGGCAAATGCTTCATCCCTAATATGTGACTTATCAGTGGGGACTTACAACCAGCTGTCAAACGTAAGGTCTTCAAACCTCATTTCAATAATTTAACATCTAGACTACTGAATACAACACCCACTGGTTTACATTTCCAATCTCAATCAATTCGTGATTTTACACAACCAAAATTGGTTACCAGTGATATCATATGTCTCACGGCTTCTGTCTAGAATTACAAAAATTATCTGTAAAAATTTGTCACTACCTATTTATTTATTAATTTAAACAGATTAAGATTGATACAATGAGGCACCAAGTATATATGCGCTACACAAATCATTTGATTTGTGTGAGGGCTAGGATACTCCCCTGGTGCTCAAACCGAAGCAGGTAGTTTTCATAGGGGTCACAGCTCGAACCGTTAACCTAGAGGTCTAATCCACAAGGTAGTGTGGCAACGTCGGGAGATGCAGTCTCATGGTAGTCGATGACCAACATTAGGTTCATACCTTCTCCGTTTCTTCAGGATCTTGGAGCATATGTCCACCATGGGTTTGGAATCTCCGTATCCATCAATCCGCGTAAAGCACCACACAGTCACTTTCCGTACTTTCAATTCCGTAGATATCAGCCCCACCGCGAGAAGGCGATGAGTTCTATGTTGATACTGACTGACTGAGGACTTCCCTGACAGTGTCTGTATACACGTGATCATGTGAAAGCACTTTGAAGGGGTGAGAGGACTTTCTCCACCCTCGACTGTACCAGGCATTTGTGTGCGAGTCACCACTAGTGAACATAGGATTGATTTGTTTTTATTATGATAAACTTTAAAGATTGGTATAGTTTTACATCATAGACTAACTTTGACTAACTAATGACTTCTTAATTAACATTAGGATTTAATTGGTTTATTTGAAGAAAATATAATAAATGGTACATTTTCTAATTAGGTTATGGTTATGCGATCCATAAATTCAATCAATCCTATTGTACATCTACAATTCGTTTAGATTAGTTCATGTTAGCTTAATAAACTTGCTATAAATATAGTAATAGTAATAATAACTTTATTATTTATTGATTATCGTCAATATGTGCTAGTTATCCTTTTCTTTCGTTTATATTCAATATTTTGCCACCCTAATCTAATCAATACTGTGTCGTACTTCGGTCAATATATCACAGTTATGAATGTTATCATTGTTTAATTAATTAGTATCTATTTATGATACATTTCTTAGCTTCATATTTTTGTCAAGCATTTTCTATGTATTCAAAAGTATATGAATCTAATATGTATCAAATAATCAGTTTCAGTGATAACTTCTCCAATCTATACAATTATCAATCTTATGGAGATTAGTTTAGTTTGTAGGTTATATTTGTTACAGATTGATCTTAGTTAAAGCTCAATTGAAAAATAAGGAGTACTTGATAGCTGTTTCTTTCTAATATAAATCTCTTTAACAATGCTCACTTAACACCCCACCATGAACTGAACCTTAATTACTTACTTACACCTGTCACTCCTCGTGGACGAGCATAGATCGCTCACCAGCATTCTCCATCTAACCCTGTCCTGGGCGATCCTTTCCAGCTCTTTCCAGTTATCATTCATCCTTTTTATATTTGTTTCTTTTTACCCGACGTAATGTGTTCTTTGACCTTCCTCTTTTCCACTTCACTTTAGCATTTCAAGTTAGCGCTTGTCTGCTGATGCAGTTTGGTGATTTTCTTAATGTATGTCCTATCCATTTCCATCGTCTTTTCCTAATTTCCTCTTCAGCTTCAAGCTGATCTGTTCTGTCCTATAGAAGGCTGTTGCTGATGGCATCCGCCCAATGTATGTTGAGTATCTTGTGAACTGAACCTAGAACCTTTGATTCTTTCATCTCACGTTTAACTATTAAAACAACTGAGTTGGCTTACGATCACTAGAGCGGAACAGCTGTCCAGTGCTCTTTGGTTTTCAATTGAAGTCAATCTATGATGAACACAGCTTACAAATTACTGTATTATGCTAGACAAAAACGTATGTATATAAGCATTTAAATCAAACTAACCAGCGTTATCCTTCGAAAATCTCAAATTTCATGTTGATTAAATCTTAAATATTAACCAAATAAAGTCATGGGTAAAGTTCATACAAGGTCATACAAGAAGAGGTAAGAAATATCATATCCTTTAAGATTAGACTAAGAATCAATCATCTTTATTATGGAATATAGCAAATAAATAAGATTGCATGTATCTTATTTGTATGCATATCTAAGGTTTCTTCGAATTGACAACCATTTTTTTCGCTATTTAGAGTTAGGGTAATCGTACGCTGTTTGGGAATCTGTTGAATAAGCCTCTTCATTTTTTGGCATTGTTTATTTTCAAATAGATATCTATGAATGATACCGATAATAGAGATCGTAACGCCCACTCATTTTCGTAAACAACAGTAATAGCGTGAGAAGGCAGTGAGTGGGACTTCCCTGACAGTGGTTGTATACACGTGGTCATGTGAGTCATTTTGAGAGGGAGAGCTGACTCTCCCCGTTCTCGGCCGTAACAGTGCATTTGGGGGCAGCATTTCTATCATTATTACTTTGTAATTGAAGCGTAGTAAAGAAGAGAAAATCACATTCATATTATAATTAACGCATTGAAAAAAAACTAATTAGAAACTTGCTAGAGCAATCAAGAGATTACGCAATTGTTGTAAATAAATGCCCAATTTTTCCTTAAAAAAAGTGGAGTTCAATACTTTTTTCCGGTGTTTCGCGTAACGTTTCGCTCTTTTTCGAATAATTTCCAAAATTTTCAGTCTGTTAATTATTAAGTCATGCATATACTGATTTTTACCACTTTAAGTTGTTTTACTTAAATGTCACGTTTATCTTACAACTCGTCGTGTTACTGTTGTATTGTAAACAAGTGGCGTTATCTAGTGCCCAATAGAGTCGTTTTTTAAGAGTTGAGTTCTTGAGTCGATCTAAGCCAGACCGCCATTGAAAACCTGAAAGCATTGGGTGACCGTTTCGTTCTAGTATAGGATGCCTCAGAAGTGCGGATCCACGATCTCGCACATGGAACTCGAACCTAGGACCTTCGGCCTCGCACATGAACGCTTAGCCTTTAGACCACTGAATCGGCATCCAACGGTGTTGATGTCTAACTTTAATCGATCTATGATCTTGTACAACCCTTCATCTGTTGTCTGAGGTGAATAACTGTCTCACACATGACACGGACTGGACTTCACTGGAGCAGATAGACGTAGTCGAGAAGTTCGTGTATCTGGGTAGCTGCATAAGTGCTGGTGGGGGGTGTGAGTGATGAGATCAATGCACGTATAGTGAAAGCCAGAGCGGCTTATGCCAATCTGGGCCACCTTTGGCGCCTTCCTGATGTTAGTCTGGCTGTAAAAGGTCGGATCTACAACGCGTCGGTGAGAGCAGTTTTGCTCTATGCTTGTGAAACCTGGCCTCTCCGAGTTGAGGATGTTAGACGACTCTCTGTGTTCGATCATCGCTGTCTCCGAAGGATTGCTGATATTCAGTGGCAACACCATGTCAGTAATGCAGAGGTTCGTCATCGTGTGTTCAGGCACAGAGATGATAATTCAATTGGTGTCACCATCTTGAAACACCGACTTCGGTGGCTTGGATATGTTCTACGAATGTCGTCCCAGAGAATTCCACGTCGTGCATTATTTGCCGACTCTGGGACTGGTTGGAAAAAGCGGAGAGGTGGTTAGTGCATGACATGGTGTCGTGGTATGAAAGAAAGCTGCAAAGGACTGGCTTGTGTCGGTCCTTCACGACTCCCTGGTTGGGGTCTGAGAGACGGTGCTACACAGTGGCTAGAGACGTTATCAGATAAGGCTCAGAATAGAAGCCAGTGGCGATCCTGCTGTAACCTTCTTTTACTTTCTTCACAAAAGGTGGTTGTGTCTCCCTTACTGAAAGATTTCTTCTGATTGTACCTTTCCGTTCCCTCGTTACTACCACACTACCTTACACCAATCTCTTCGTTATCGTTCTCTTTTTCTTTTGCGCTCCTTAGTTTCTTTTTGTTTTTTTTCTATCTTCGAATTTTCATTGTTTTGTGTGGCGCATATATATTGGCGCTCTCTTGTACCAATATTTATGTGTTCAAATAAATAAATCACTGGTCACGGCCTCTCACCAGAACTCCAAGAAAATCCATCTGTAATCTAGTCACTAGTGAACAAATGGTTATTATCAGTATGGGAATTTGTAGAGATTGTAATATTTTAACACTTTTGAAATGCTCTCACAAGGCCACGTGTATACAGCCACTATCAGGAACGTCCTACTGACTGCCTTCTCGTGAAATGGGTTGTTGTTTACAAAGTTGATAGGACGAGAAGCGAATGTCTGGTGCTTTAACCAGGTTGGTGGATTTGGAGGATCCACCTAAGGGAGCTGGAAAACACTGATTCCAAACTAATGGTGTACATGAGCTTCAGGATCCTAAGAGAACAAATGGCGTATGAACATATTGTTGGTCATCGGCTACGATGGGACTGTATCTCTTTACATTGCTCCACTGTCTTGTGGATTGGAGCTTTAGGTCAAAGGCTGTGGGTTTGACTCCCTATGAAAACCGCTTGCTTCGGCTTGGGTATCTGCGAAGTCTCACAGCCTTCACATAAATCGAATGACTTACGTGGTGCATATCTGTTTGGTGCCTCCTTATATTAACGTTTATGTGTTTAAATAAACAATAATAATAAATAGTGGTTGTTTGGATCTTCCCATCGATGTTAAGGATTGCAATTGATCAGTCTTTTTGATGTATGTATATTCTGTGCTGATTGCCTCGATATTGCCGGTAAGCTACAAGCATTTTAAACAGATATAGATGGTGACTAGCAGTAAAATCAGGGACGTGCGTTTCGTTGTTTTTTGAACTAGTCGGCCTGATGTATGTGCATCTCAGACTTGATGTTCACTCCAAGACTTAAAGCCAGTACATTTAGCTTTCAATAACATCGCTATATCCACTTAGCTACTGAGTCTAGATAGACACTGATTTCTGCAATAAGGTGAATTTCCATTAGTGAATATCGACTCTGGAATGCAGGCACATAACAAACAACTAAATACAATCTCATCATTATTACTTTGGTCTTAGTTATTCAAAGGTAGAAAAAATGCATATAACATAATTAACCAAATTCGTTGAAAATGTTGTTCCATCATGGGAGCACTTAACAAAACCTTCAACTATTGTCTACTTAGACGTCTAATGTTGTCTAGAGCATGAACAGATTAACCAAACTCAAAACTACAATATTAATCCATAAGATTATTGACTCGAACTAATCGTATAGAAAGATATCGATTATTTAATTACGGTTGTTAAGCTATGATAAACGATCTAAAATCGGTTACTATGGCATACATGTATTTATTTTTTTAAAATCTTCTATTCATATTACATACATATTGTTTCATCTTGCTAGTCATCATTATTATTATTACAATTTTGTTTTTATCTTGTTTTGATGAAATCATATGACAACTTAGTTGCATGCATATTTATACTACTTATAAGTTGTCTATTGTTTAAGACATTACGTAGTAACTATTCAATGTTCAGTCAATGTAAGAATGTTTTTTTGGTCCTTTAAATGACCTAAACATTTATTCAATATAATAACTGAATATGTATTATTATTGTTGTTATTCCTTAGAAGTCACTTTTAATTCTTGTTGAATAATATACCGAGTTAAAATGGTTATTTTGACATGAACAAATCATATCAGTCAATAGTCGGTCAGTCAGTTAGCTGCAATATAGAACTAGGCACACATTTATGCATTGATCCAAATTGTCACACTTCATTAGTACAACTAAATGAACACTGAATTCATAGAAGTACATACTTCTTAAATGATAGTACTATATATAAGAAAGAATATGTATTAACATTTTAGTTGATTTATAAAATGATCATTGTTTGCTTGGTTAATTTGAATGACTTATAGTCTATATGAAATATTTATGTTTTATCCACAGCAACAGTTGTTATTTCGTCTTCATATTGTTGCTGTTGTCGTCTTTGTTGTCGTTGTCGTCATCGTTTTTTCCTCTCTGATGACTTTTACGTCAATTCATTTGATGTGCCTTGTAATCATTGTTATCACTACCAAATGTACATATAAAACATACTGATACTACCTTTCTATAATAAATCTTTCTAAAGTTGTATAATCAATGGTATTAGTGCAGAACAAAAAAAATAGAAAAAAAGGAAACATGTATGTGACTTAAACCATTCTATTCTATATAAAACTTTACAACAATCTTTTCAATACAAAATAGTTTCATATCAAAAGGGTTTTTGTAGATATTGTAGTAATTTCAATGGTTAAGATCATGAGTCAATTGGATGCCAACTCAGTGATCTAGTGGTTAAACGCTCGCGTGCAATACTGATATATCCTGGGTTTGAATCTCGTGAGGCGTGATCGTGAATGTGCACTGTCACTGAGGCGTCCTACAATAGGATGAAACCACCGTCCAGTGTTTCCAGGTTATCTATGGTGATCTACCTTCAATCGATTCATAATCTCAACCATTCAAATTACAAAATAGTTTGTTTTGATGTTTAATATCCATTAATGTTTATTATTATTATTATTATTATTATTATTATTACCACTTATTAGTGATCAGTTAATGAATGATCATTCGAGAGATAATAACTCCAACTGTGTGACATTAAGAAATGTGCCTTTGAACACTCTACCCCACTCCCACCGATCCACAAAAAGCGGACTGTAGATTGTAAACAGCACAGATATTATGTTAGGTAGGGTTGACACAATTAATTTCCACCCAGTTCATTATATGACAAATGTTTTTTAATGTAACAATGTTTCTGAGCTAAATTATGTATATTTGCTAAACTCTACATCTATACAAACTCAATACCATGTTGATACACTCTAATAGTTCAAAATAGTATTCTTTTTACAATTGATTAATCACTGAGTGGTAATCAATATCATGTATATGTGGTCTTTCTTAATGCAGATCGAACAAGTTGCATTGAGGCTACCAGTCTAGGTGACTTGACATTGAGTGTACTATGTTGAGATAAGATGATGGTTGGAGTTAGTCAACAGAATTATTATTTTGTCGCATCTATATACATATTTTTGTTTTATTCTGAATAAAGTTTTTTCTCTAAATATTATTGTTGTTTTTTAATGTTTGTTTTAGATAATGGGTGCTTCATTTAGAAATGTTGAACAAATTCTTGGTTTAGTTGGATGTGATTTGTTAACAATATCACCTAGTCTTTTAGATGAATTAAGTAAAATGTCAGAAGTGCCCAGTTTATGCTTGACTGTAGAAAAAGGTAAATAAATTTATTGTTTTCTTAGTTATGGAACGAAACCGTGTTCAACTTCTGTTTTCATAACCATATAATATCTTTAATTGTTTCATTTGGATGTTGTTCTTTTTCGAACTAAACTGATAAGTAAGTCGTATTAATAATTTATACAAGTCACTTGGTTTGTGTGTAGGCTATAATGCTTCCCGGGTGCCCAAACCGAAGCAGGTAGTTTTCTTAGGGTACCACACTCAGAGCCTTTGACCTAAAAGTCTAATCCACAAGGTAATAGAGCAACATAAGGAGATGCAGTCCCATCGTAGCCAATGACCAACAATATGTTCATACGCCATTTGTTAACTTAGGATCCTGGAGCCCATGTGCACCATTGATTTGGAATGAGGGTTTTCCGACTCCCGTACGTGGATCATCTATGTCCAACAACCCGGTTAAACCATTGGATATTCGCTTTTCGTCCTCTGAATTTCGTAAACACCAGCCTTGCCGTGAAAAGGCATTGAGTAGGCATTCAATTGAAGTGGTTGTGTATACGTGACCATGTATGAGCATTTTGAGAGGGAGAGCTGACTCTTCCCACTCTCGGTCGTAACATGGCATTTATGGGCTTAATAAATAACTACACACTGATGGAATTTTTTTATGCATTATTTCTGTATTATTCACTTACGTGAATTGATTAATTATGATTCTTCTTTTCTTTTTATTGTGACCACCACCACCAACAACAAACCACACACACGCACACCCAGCCCAAACATCTTATGATCATTCTTATCAATCAGATGAATTATTAACAGAAGAAGAATTTCGTTGGCAAATGAATGAAGATGAAATGGCTAATGATAAATTAACTGATGGTATAAGACGTTTTACTAATGATGCATTAATATTAAAAGATTTAATTAAAACACGTATAGAACAATAATAATAATCATAGAGATAATAATCTAATAATAGATCATAGATGAATTAAATGGAATTCTAATGTTTTCTGTACGTGCTCATTTTCAATCCGGCTTACTTAACATTCATTCAAATGAGAAATAATTTATGTCTTTTTAATTCAATATACATTAATCAGCATGATTTACGCATATTAGTATAAAGTATTTTAATTAAAATTCATAAATTTTCAATGATCACATCCTTATTTATTATGTAAGACTTTTATGAAATGGACCTTAGTTTTAGTTATTTCAATAGTTGATATTATGAATCAATTGAAATGAGACTACCATGGAAAACCTGGAAACACTGGATGTCCGTCCTCAGTAGCAATACGCATCCACTATCCCGCTACGTGAGATTCGAACCCAGAACCTATCAGTCTCGCGTGCTAGCGCTTAACCACTAAGCTGACATCCAAATGTGTTGATGTCTGACTTAAACTAATCCACGAAATTGAGCGACACATTTATTTATTTGAACACATAAGTATTGGTACAAGGGGAACCAAACACATTTGCGCCGCACGAGTCACTTGATTTGTGTATGTGGTGTGATACTAGCCGGGTGCCCAACCGAATCAGGTGATTTTCTTAATCGCCCACACTCGCAGCATTCGACCTAAAGGTCTAATCCACAAGGCAGTGGAGCAATGCTAGGAGATGCAGTGATATGGTAGTCGGTGACCAACAATTGGTTCGTACGCCATTTGTTCCCTCAGGACATTGGAGCCCATATGCACTATTTGTTTGGAATGAGTTCTTTCCAACTCCTCTAGGTTGATCCTCCATATCCACCAACCCTGTTAAAGCTTCGTACATTCACTTTCCGTCCTCTTAATTCCGTAGACATCCGCCCCACTGCGAGAAAGCAGTGAGTAGAACTTCTCTGGCAGTGGTTTTATGCACGTGGCCATCTGAGAGCATTTCAAGAATGAGGAAACTGACTCTCCCTACCCTCGGTCGTATCAGGACTTTTGCGGGCACATAGAAAAAACCCGTTCTCGTCTTTTTACTGTATAGTTAAACTTGTACCATGGTCCTGATAACCCTTAATCCGGAGCTGAAACTACTGAACTGATAGAAAAGTGTGAGGGATTTTTTCCGTGTTGCGGCTGGTAATGATACTAGGCGAAATACTTTGAAATTACCGAATTGCACGACATACGCGCGATTTAAAAATTCAAAATGGTGATTATAAAAGATTATCCTACTGGTTGAGTTTTTTGGAGTAATTCAGTAATCAGTCAGTCAGTAACAACGTGGAACTTCGTACGTACGTACATCAATTCGAGTTGCCATAACACATTAGCACAGAGATGCAGTTGTTGATTCAAATCCCATAGTGATAGAGGTAGTAAAAGTACAAGCAGTAATCGGAAAGATTAGAGTTTGGAGATGTTATTTAAAGAGTATAGTCCAGTGAAATAAATTTGGAAAGAGGAAAAAAGATAAGAAGGAATCAGGAGATTAGAATTTGGAAGAACACAAAGATTGGATGCACCTGCGCCCAGCATTGCAAACGATTTTGGGCTATGTCATTCAGGGTCTCTAACCATCGGTTGCCATCAACTCGCGGTCTCCAACCAGGTAGTCTACCAACATGACTCAGTCCATTTGTCAGTGACTTCATGGACTTGAATTCAGTAATAATCCTCCTTATTAACCCTTGCGCCAAGGTATCAAGTTAATGTTTATTACATAACCAATTTATGGGGTATATACTATTAGTGCTTATTAGAAAGACAATAAACCATCCAATTCAGTAAGCGAAATACCTTCAAAATAATTTAACTATTTACATACAATTACTATGACCCTTATCCATTATTGTGAAAATAAATTACGCTTTGTCCTACTTACACAATATTATAACATACATTACAATATTACATGTAATATATCAATAAAGTATGGTGCTTTAATTGACAACTTACGACGGATAACCAATGGTTAAAATTAAAAAAAGTCGAACATTGAAATGATGAGACTACCGTTGATCAACGATCTTTACCAAGTCTAATTGAGAGTCATAAACCTGTGTGAGAGATTAGAATATTTTGAACATTCTATTTTAGCGGCATCTATAGAGCTTCATAGGATTGGATGTAGGATAAGAAAAGCTGAAGCTACAGACTGTTAATTTATATCCAATTATGTCAAAGGACTAAAACATTACCAAGTTACTGTAAATGTGATGTTTAGAAATTTGAAGAGAGATGACTTTCGAAAAGATCGAGTTATTGTCTGTTGATATTCTGAACCATATATGCAATTGACTTCCGAGGGATGGAAACATCTTGATAAATTTTTCATTTTGATATTACATGATCGGTGATAGTCTGTAGAAGAACCTTAACTTATGTTTATACTAATTATTATGCATAAACAAGGCATACTTAGTGTCATGAAAAGACCAATGTCCACTTAGTGAATCCAAACAAAATGTATCTCAATTCAGGCTTTAGTAGAATTTCATTAACATCTAGTCAATTAACCTTAATGGGTACTTGATCAATAGGATTAAGTTCACAGCTTTGGGCTATTTTGTTCAATGATCGATTAGTTAAGTCATCATGAAATGATTTTCAATCATTTGGTTTATTTACTTAATGACGTTACAGTGAGACTATAATCGATGGACGACCATTGAGTGACACTAAACTGACCTTGAGAGTGTCCACCTAATAACTGGTACTAAATTAGGGTTATAAACTAATGTGAGGAATTATAATTTTTAAATGATGATTATGATTAGAAATTAGATTTAGGGAGTTTTCATCAGATATAATGCCAAAACCCTATTTATCCGAATAGATGAATGAAATTCGCGCCAAAATCCTTGATCTTTTATCTTATACATCATTGGCTCGTTTTGTAAATTATAGTCTCGCCATTGGATATATGCATATAATGGGTCATTCCATTGAAAATATTTTTGACATTAAAATATCATGAGAATTTCTTTTTTCTAAGATGAACAACTGTCATAGGTAGTCATTTAAAAAGGTGATCGTTTTGATATAGTTAATAACTTTATGTCGTGAGTGTTTTGGAATTTTTGCCCAGTAAAAAAAAAAGAAGTACATGACATAACAATGTACGATATTGACTTTAGTTATAGATATAAATATAACCATTATTAAGTCTTGCTTATTTGGACGCTATATTCGTTCCTAAGCTATTCTGATACCCGCACTCTAGAACTATACAGCGACCTGAACACCAGAAAGAAGACGCAAAATATGAAACACTTTACTCAAGGGTTCGTTTTTGTACAGGAAACGTGGGTATTTATAGATGTTAACGTTTGTTAAATCAACATCATATTTCGGCCAATCCGTTAACGACATATTATGCTACTGACAAATAGTAGCAAGTCACTTTGGAATTCTAGAATGCTACATCATGCTCTGATTGGCTAGGACTCTTCGGCTTCTTTTGGGCCTCTAGAGGCTCCGTTGAAGTTCTCCGAAAGCCGGCTCAACAACCATTTTGATGTTTACTAAAAAGCATTAAATCGACTGAAGATATTCCATCATGTTGACTCAATACTAATGTATATTTTCAGTTTAAGGCTGTAGAGATTATTGAATTGTTATAACAATGAACCAATCAATGTTAGAACATCATTAAACATGAAAGTACTGGATTTCTTGAAGTTAGTCACTAACGCCGTTGGGTTAAGTCAGTGATCAAGCCAAAAAATGTGGATGACATATTCGTCATCACTAAAAAGGACTATCTGGAAAACATTTACACTTTGATAATATTGACAATTGAATAAAAGTCAAACAACAAGTTATTAATTTTGAATGTATTGATCTATGGAACTGCTACAGGGAAAGTGGAAACTCAAGTATATTGGAAGTCAATCGATAAAAGTCAAATTCTCAATTACATTAGCTGTAACGCAATAAGTCACAAAACGAAATGCTTACAAGTTTTATTCAAGAGGGTGATAACACACTACAGAACACTTGCAATGCGTGAAGTTGAAAAATATCTAATGAATTTCCTTCGAAAGAAAAATTACAATGAGATTATTGAAGCCGTTTGGATTAAGTGTAGCACACAAACTAGCAAAATCACTCTGATAAATCCTATGCAAACCTGTAGTGTCTGCTACTATGTCAGTTGAAAGCTTATCTGCTCGTTTGTTCTCTTCCAGAGAAGGCTATTGCTGATGGTATCCGGTCAATGGATGTTGAGTATCTTGCGTAGACAACCATTTATAAATACTTGTGTCTTCTTGATGGTGGTTGTTGTAGTTCTCCAAGTTTCATCTCCGTACGGTAGAACTGCCTTGAAGTTCGTATTGATGATTCTGACTTTGATCTTGGTTGAAAGTTGTTTTGAGTTCCATATGTTCTTCAATTCTAGGAATGCTTTACCAATGCTCGCCTTTATTTCTGCTTACCAGGTATGTGAAGAATTCAACATGGTAAAAAAAGAAAAAGTACAATGAAAATATCGGCTCCTCGTAAACTGCATCGTTGTTTTCCAGCCGTCCTGGAAAAGAAAAAAGAAAATGTAAGTGCATCTCGAAATGCACTCGTATGAACGTAAAAACGCAATGTCGGCGAAAAAAAGGAAAACAAACTCAAACACACGTAATAGCGTTAAAAAATGTTTTGTTTTTTTAATAAAAATAGAAATACATGAGCATATTAAAATTGTTGTTTTTTTTAAAAAAAAATTAATATATATGGTAAAAAGAAAGATCGAGATAATATAAAATGTCGAGTAGTGCTTTACGTGCAATAGTCGTTTAAATGTTCTGGAAATCTTAGTCTTCTTCCAGAACGTGCCGTTTTAAGTTTATTTTCAGACACATTTGGAGTGTCATCGCTAGTGTTGGTTGAGCAATTATGGGTGTAGTAGTCGTGTTGTGCGATTGTACCGGAAAGAAATCGAAGTGAATAGGATTTCCTTCTAAATACGCTGCTTTTAAGCGATCGATGGTGATTCTATCGTTTGTTCCGTTCTTATCGAACATATAGTACTTAGATTCACGTTGAAGAACTTTGAAAGGTCCTTCGTATGCTGATTCGAATGGTCTTCGATGTGCGTCTCGACGAACGAAAACGTGTGTACTATATCGTAAGTCAGGTTGAACGAAAACAGAGGTTGACTGTGGTCGAGTGGAAGCAGGTTTAACTGAACGCATTGCGTTTGTAAGCCTCTTCGTGTAGGAGGTTAGATCCATGTTCATTGAAGGATCCACGAATTCTCCTGGAAGTCGAAGTGTCGTTCCATAAACGAGTTGACCTGCGGTGTATCCAATGTCAGCTTTCACTGCATTGCGGATACCTAGTAAGACGAGTGGAAGAGCATCGGTCGACTGTGAAAAGTTTGCAGCTGATAGTGAAGCTTTTAGTTGTCGGTGAAAACGATCTACCAACCCGTTTGCTTGTGGGTGGTAGGCGTTCGTTCGGAAGCGAGTGATTCCTAATAGTGTGGTCAGATGACGGAAAAGTTCAGACTCAAACTGACGTCCGCGGTCTGTAGTGATGGTTGAAGGGCAACAGAAGTTTGCTACACATCGTTCGACGAAGGTGCGGGCCACTGTTTCAGCAGTGATCTCTTTGATAGATACTGCTTCTAACCACGGAGTGAAACGATCTACACAGGTTAATAGGTAAGAGTATTCATCTGAATCTGGTAAAAGTCCTACCAAATCCAGTTGAAAATGGTCGAAACGAGCATCGGGAGTTTTAATGAGCCTAAAGGACATTTATTGTGTCTGATGACCTTAGATTTTTGGCAGCTTACATAGAAGCATGCCCACCCCCTCACGTCTTTATTCATACCAGGCCAGCAAAAGCGTTCTGCTATCAGCTTGATGGTTGCACGAACACCTGGATGAGAAAGTTTGTGCAATGTATTGAACACATTGCGTCGATAATGTTTCGGCACGATTGGGCGATCCCCGCTACAGACTACTGCTACACTTGCTGTCTGTATCTGCATAAGTTCGTGTATATGCTATAGGATGGCTTGGTTATCTGCGAAGTCCAAATTGTATAATTGATTCTGAGTTGTCCATTATATTCTGTGTTTTCCTTCAGATATCGAGGTCCTCATAATCCAGTCGACCACCAGAAGAAAAAGGAAGGGAGAGAGTAAACAGCCTTGTCTGACTCCGGTCTGTACTTGGAATGAATCTGTCAGCTGTCCTCCATGCACGACTTTGCACTGTAGTCCATCGGGTGAGTTCCGGATAATATTGACAATCTTCTCAGGAACTCCGTAGTGTCGAAGAAGTTTCTATAATGTCTTCCTATCTACACTGTCAAATGCCTTTTCATAATCAATGAAGTTTATTGACGACGATGATCCGTAGTGTTGTAATTTGTTCTGTGCACAACCGATTCTTACGGAATCCAGTTTGTTGATCTCAAAGTTAGGCGTCTACTCCATCTTTCATCCGGTTCAGCAACACTCTGTTAAACACTTTTCCTGGTACTGACAGTAGTGTAATGCCTCTGTAGTTTTCACATTTGCTCAGGTCTCCTTTCTTGAGAATCTTGACGAGGTGCCCTTCTTTCCAGTCCATCGGCACTTGTTCCTCCTCCCAAATCTTTTTGAATAGAAGGTGAAGCATGTTTGTAGTTGCTTCGATGTCTGACTTCAGTGCTTCAGCTGGTATGTTGTCTGGTCCTGCTGCTTTCCCGTTCTTGATTTGTTTGACGGACATTCTGATTTCTTCCTTCGTTGGTGGGTTGACGTCTATGGAAAGATGTGTGTGTGCTGCTTCGATGTCCGATGGATTCATTGGAGCCGGCCTATTCAGGAGTTCCTCGAAGTATTCAACTCATCTGTTCCTCTATTCTTGGATTTCAGTGATTGTACTTCCTTCTTTTTCCTTCATCGGTCTCTCTGGTTTACTATATTTCCCTAATAGTTTCTTCGTCGTATCATATAGTTGTTTCATATCTCCTTCTCTTGCAGAGTTTTCCGCCGTCGTTGCTAGTTCTTTCACGTATTTCTGTTTGTCGGCTTTAATGTTCTTCCTTACTTGCTTGTTTGCTTCTATGTACTCATTTTGTTCTTTGATTTTCTCTGCTCGTGTTTGGCTGTTTTTAATTGCTGTCTTTTTGTTCTTTTATCCTTTTATCGTGTTCAGTGTTCCTATAGAGACCCATTCCTTATGGCTATGCTTCTTAAGTCCCAGGACCTCTTGACACGTTGAAATTAATGCTTCTTTGATACTTTTCCAGTTGTACTCTATAGTAGTTCCTTCTTCCTTCAGTAGATCCTGTAAGGCTTGGAACCAGTTGTTGAGAGCTATCTTGAATTCGTTGATTTTGTTAGTATCTCGAAGGAAGGCTGTATTGAACCTTGGTAGTGTTGTTTGTCCAATTGTCCAATTCTTTTTTAGCTTCAGTTTTAATTTGGCCACAACTAAGTGGTGATCTGAAGCTATGTCAGCTCCTCTACTGGTCCTCACATCTTCCATTAACCTTTGGAATTTTTTATTGATACAAATCTGATCTATTTGGTCCCCTGTAGTGTGGTCCAATGAGATCCATGTAGCTTTTAGTATACGTCTGTGTGGAAATATTGTGCCGCCTACGACCGGTTTGTCGATTACGCATAGATTCGCAAATCCTTTTCCATTTTTGTTTCTCTCTCCAAGTCCATGTCGTCCCATGATATCTTCACAAACGGTGTTGTCCATTCCGACTTTGCATTTAGATCTCCCATTAGAATGGTGAGGTCGTTTTTTTGGAACCTCTCTTTGATTGATTGCAGCCTCTCATATAATTGATCTTTACATTGGTGGGTGCTTAGCACTGAATAATATTCATTGTAACTCACTCCTTCTTTGTTTTGAATGATACTTTGATGATTCTGGATCCGTGAGATTCCCATCCTACAAGTGCATTTCGTGCTACTTTGGAAAGCATTAGAGCGACTCCCTGAGTGTGTGGAGCTTTTCGCCCTTCGTGACCAGAGTATAGCAGTATCTCTCCCGTATCTAGCCTTTATTTTTCAGGTTGAGTTCAATGGGTTTTGTCGATTCTAAGTACTGCCAAATTGTATCTCCTCATTTCCGTTGCTATTTGTCTGATATTCTCTGTCTACCACAGTGTCTGGACGTTCCATGTACCTGTCAATATTGTTGCTCTGGTTGTTAGAAGGGGCATCGGCCTCGTGGCTTCCGAAGGAAATCGGCTTTTACCATAAGGCGTCATAATTCTTCTAAATGAAGACCTTGTAACTCTCAGGGCAGAGTTTAAATGGTTTGAATTATTTTTTCTGGTAAGCGTTTTTTTAGCGAGTTAGTTTTCTACGGGATGGGGAATCTAACCACATGCCCAACTCTCCTTTTTTACCCGGACTTGAGACCGGCAGTAACTCAAGAAGAGCTACAGGCGGAATTATTATGTTTATTACTTAAGCTTAATTCTATATTCAGTGAAGAGCAATTTTTTTTAATTAATCATGGTAAACGTTTTTTTATATTTTTCTTTTTCCCTAAATGAATAGCAACTAAGTGATAATAAGATGTTAGATGTAACAACTTCATCTTATCAATACAATTTAACACATCCATACACTACTAATATTATTACTACTAATCCAACAACAACATCACCAATATCAACAGTAAAAACATGTATTTCAATGAATGATACTTCTGAAAAATCAATTAGTTTACAATGTTCTAAATTTATTACACGTTGGATAACACAATGTCCATTTCAATGGAATATAAAATCATCAAATCAACAAAAAACTATAATAAATAATAATAATAATTGGCAAACAACAACATCAACAACTATCATTTCTAATAATCCTATTGATCCTATATATACACAATCCAGATATCAACAAGATCTATTAAATCCAATCAACAAAACAATTCAAACTACTAATAATGATGAAAATATTCATGAATTTATTGAAGAATGTGTTATACCTGTACCTGTATTTAATTTATTTCTATATTTAGCACAAGAAGGTGTTTATGCAAGAGATTTATTTCGACGACCTGGTAATATTGCTCAAATTAAAGTAAGTAGTATTGTTTAAAAGATCTAGTTATATATGTATATATGACAGATAGTTTTTGTAATTTGCATTGAAGTTACTTACTTACTTACTTACGTTTGTTACTCTTCGTGAAGGAGCATGGGCCGCTCACAAGCATTCTCCATCCAACCCTGTCCTGGTCAATCTTTTCCACGTTTTATTCATCCTTTTCATATCTGATTCTATTTCCTGACGTAATGTGTTCCTCTTTACCGCTTACTTTCAGGATTTCAAGTTAGGGAACTCCGCCTGTAGCTCTTTTAGAGTTACTGCCGGTCCCGAGCTCGGATAAAAGAGGAGGGATCGGCATGGGTTTAGCGACCCCATCCTGTAGAAAACTAAATCGCTAAAAGTCGCTAACCAGGGAAAATAATTCAAACTATTTAAACTCTGCACTGGGAGTTAGGAGGTCTTCATTTATAAGACCTATGACGCCTCATGGTACAAGCCGATTTCCTTCGGAAGTCACGAGGCCGATGCCCTTTCTAACAACCAGAGCAACAATTTTTATATATATGTGATAACAGGTCTTGGATTTTGGTGCGAAATTCCTGTAGGCAGAGTTGAGGTTCGAAAAATGTTTGCCTTATTTTTAGTACTTGAATTTAATCTTTTGATAAGAATTTATTCTGTTTTTTTACGAACAGTGTTGTTTTTAAATAAAGTCAAATTAGTAAGTAGAACTGGTTTGCCTTCATCCTCATTGTTTATTTTACAATCATATTATTCTATGTAGTATATTGTTCATGACTTTTTGAAATAGATCCATGTTGTGAAGATATAGTCGATTGATCGTTTGCCTTCTTACTGATCTCCATAGTTCTATATCAGATGGAATCCTGGTTCTTTATGTCTAGTCTGAAGTAGTAGTTGATGATATATTTAGATTTTCATCGACAAGAAGAAACGCCTAAATCAAAGGACAGATTGAATATTTTAGTAAGCAGGATATAAATATCTGAATCTTCGTATTCAATCAAATTAGCCAGTACTCCAGCATGGTCTCTTCCAAGAGAACGTAACAATGTCCGTTTCGCATCCCTCGCGATGCTCGGCGTGAATGTCAGATCTGCCAATATATATGGGTTGACACTACCGGCTATGCTTTCATTCTGAGCAAATGTGTTACTAAGCAGCTCACGTAGTTCTTCTGAGTCTCTTATAAGTAGACGAGTCCCAAACAGGACGAAACGCGCGTCCTGGATTCCACTGCTAGCCACTATCCATCTCTGCTTATAATGCTTGTAAATTAAGGCAATATCGAGGCATACGCACAGTATGCACATATGCCAATAAGAGACTGATCAATTTCAGTCCTAAAACATCAATGGGAAGATTCAAGTAAAACAATATCAATTGAATTATTAAGCAAATGGTTCTTCCGCATTTGTAATACATCTCATGCGCCAGATATCAATGCAAAGTGCATCAGCAAAAACTATTTCAAAACTGTAAACCTCGACACTTGGAGTATACATACCGCCATTAAAACTTTTAAGCCAAATGCGAGTTCTGGTGCCGATGACATCCCTTCAATCCTTTATAAAATGTCAGGCCCGGACATGCAGACGCTATTAATCAAAATATACACTTTATCTTTAGAGACAGGTTCATATCCGTAAATCTGGAAGGTAACGTATGATCTTCCCAAACACATATCCGGACCAAGAAACCTTGTCGAAAACTGCAAAACCCATAAATATCACTCCAGTCATATCACGCATAATGGAAAAAGCGATACAAAATCATCTATTTGATCACCTACTTAAGGAAGATCTGACGGGCCCGTCACAACATGGCTTCATTAGAACAAGGTCGTGCAGTACATGTCTGATAGACTTTAATACGAGGTTACTAGCATTCATGACCAGAAGGAACTAGTGGTTATACTATATTTCGATATTAAGAAAGCCTCTGGTAAAGTACATCATAATCTTCTAATAAACAGGCTTGAACAGTTGGAATTATAAATCCTCTTTTGCAATGGACCAAGTCATTTCTTACGAACAGATACCAAATAACCAAGATTAACTTTACAACATCTACACCTCCACCAATAACCAGTGGTGTTGTCCAGGGTAGTGTCTTGGGTCTATTGCTCTTTATAATCTACATCAGCAATATATGCAAGTGTTATAGCACAGGTCAGACATACCTCTATAACGATGACTTAAAAGTCACCTATAAAACTGACATTCGCGATGTACGTAGTACTGTGCGAACAATATAACAAGAACTCAACATGATAAACAACTGGTGCAAACGCTGGAGGTTGGAGCTCAGCACAAATAAATGCGGCTGGCTCTTCAAAATGAATATAAAATCATTCTTTATAAACCCTGTGTAAGGCATATCGTTGAATACTGTTCGTTCTTATTTTCTAACCTACGCCTACCCGATATACTTAAGGTGGAAGGAATACAACGAGATTTCACTCGCTTAATACTTAAGAACAACTCACTCAATGAATACAGCTCTCGATGCCATATCTTAGGACTGGAACTCCTTTGGAAAAGAAGGCTAAGGTCCAATTTCATCCTCTATTTCAAACTCCTGAAAAACCTTACTCATTCCACATGTAATATAGCTCTTGCCCAAGACACAGATGAATATGACCTTCGAGACAAAGTAACCACGATCATAGTTGGGAAATACAGTTCAAAAACTCGGGAAAACTTCTTCCTCATTAAGTGTGCATTAATATGGAAAAGTCTTGCCTTTGGAATACGCATGACAGATGAATTACATACGTTTGTAAGGCTTATTGATCAAGCCCTCACATGCACAGATCTGGCACAAACGGATATTATAGGCTCTCTACATGTATGGATCGAATTGTATGATTTTCTAACTTTGTATTTGTATTAGACACTTTTTCCTTCCTAATTTTTCTACTTGAAGTTGACAGGTAACTCACTGAACCTATCGACTTTCGGTCGCTAAGAGACGCTTACTTCTATCCTAAAAAGTGAGAAAAACCCGCACAAATACCTGTTTACTACTAGTGGTCTTGCTCCATTGGAACCAGTTACCCATCAACCGGTGAGGATGGAACAAAATAACATCGACAACAAGTTAATATGAATTTCTTCTTGTTTATGCATTATCAGCTCTTTACTCTCCTGTATAATATGTAGACTAGCAATTAATATAATTTCTCCACTCGTTACCTTATCTACAACTCATCTGTTTATATACTTTTCCACCGGCTTTAATAAAAAACTATCCCACATTATACCCTTCTAAATGTTTATACTCTAACTGGCGAACTATAATTTATACTATAGTCAATTAAAGCACTGCATCCAAGCCGTACCCACAGTCCATAACTTGTAACTGCCTGATAAGTTTGTAAAATGGTACTTATATAAATAGTATTTTCCAACAGATTGTGAAACAGAGGATTGTGTGAGGTATGACATATATGCAAAAATAAGCTTAAATGATTCTAACATCACAAAAGGAGGGAGGGTGGAGTTACTGACGAGCAAGCACTGACTGTGTGGGTGATGACTTCAATCCACCCGTGTTTGTGGGGCAAGACATTTTGTAAGTATCAGGCTCTTAATGACTGAGGATAGGTAAATCAACCTGTGATATTTATTTATTTAAACACAGATATTCGTACAAGGAGGCACCAAGTACATATGCGCCACGCAAATCTCATTCGATATGTGTGAGGGCTGTGATACTACCCGGGTGCCCAAACCGAAGCAGGTGGTCTTATAAGGGGCCACTCCTCGAGCCTTCGACCTGAAGGTCTGACCCACAATGCAGTGGAGCATCGTAAGGAGATTCAGTCCCATGGAAGCCGGTGACCAACAATTGGTTCATACGCCATTTGTTCCTGCAGGATACTGTAGTCCATGTGCACCATTGGTTTGGAATCCGGTTAAAGCGCCAGAAATCTGCTTTTCGTCCTCTCATTTTTGTAAATAACACCCCCGCCTAGAGAAGGCAGTGAGTAGGACTTCCCTGACAGAGCCTATATACGCGTAGCCATGTGAGAGCATTTCGAGAGGGAGAGCGGACTCTCCCCACTCTCGACAATACCAGGGCATCTGGGGGCACCTGTGATATAGATTGTTTTTCTACGCTCATCACTCAGTCTCATGTTTCCAATTTTATGCTAGATTAGCTATTCTACTAAGACAACCTACAACATGCTAACTCGGACATTTTCACTACGATTGTGTGGCTTCCATCGGACAGACAAAAAAAGAAAAGAGAGAAAAAATTAAACAGCAAAAGATATAATCGTTAGTACTTTTAACACCTCACCTTCCGTATGCACAATCCTAATAAAGCGCTTTCCTTGTACCAGCCTTGACTTCCCTTCCTTCATGCGAGCGTACTCCATTTTGTTAAACATCACAACTCATTGTTCTTTATTACTACATTCTCTTATATGGAGCCTCTGACTTCATTTCACTCCAACAAGAGATAATATGAATTTAATCTAATGTATTATACCTCTGTCTGTTCTACTACAGAATGTTAAGCAACGTTTGGCGTTCATATCCTAGTGCCTTGATGCTCTTCTGTTTCTCTTTTTCTTCTTCAGAAATTCGCTCTGAGGGCACAGCTATGAAACTTCTGTCGTCTGGAACAAACTTGACGTACGCGTCCCCTCAAGGTCTTGGTTTACAGCAAGCGCTCTAGGGGTCTACTTCATAACAACTATAAACTTAATAAGTTGGAAAGCATGTTGTACACCAACAACTGTTGTAATTTATAGATATGCCTGTAAAAATGGCGTGTACCTGCTAATGCAGAAATATATCATTATTATTGCGTTACCAGGTCCAAGTTTTCATCAAGTTAGGAAAAAAATGATTGGCTTATGGTTACCTTAGGGCTTGAAAACTCAAGATTTGGCACCGTTTTTGTATAAGTGGAAGAGAATGAACTTCGATAAGTGGGAACGTGTCTATATGATGCTGCTCACTGGATACAACGGGGAATTAAATCGACCAGGCAAAATCATACCTTGTGGATATTGTAATATATTGATACTATATCTTATTTATTAAAAAGATACAGTCTTAAAACTGCCAACATAAGAACAAGTATGGTGTATTTTCAGCATCGCGGTTGTTTCCCTATCTACTGACAATCTTCCTACGTATGGTATGGCATAATTAAACGTGTAAAAGATAAATTGCAAATACCACTCACTTGCGAGCACGAAAGAAAAACTATTCACCAGTCGTAATTGAAATACCCACTTTTGTTTCAAAACTGATGCGAAATCATGCCACGCAAAATGCTTGAAAGTTACATGAGTAATTACGACGAATAACTGCTGCTGAATAAGTTCTCATGATATTCGTATATCACCACACAGCATTTTTAACTGAACTTCGGATTTCATTAAAAGCGTTATTTGGTAAACACTTAACACTTTGAGATTGAACGGGAAAAAAGTTTATGCTAAGACTATTATTATTCATTTTTCATGGATGTCTAGGTTTCGAAATTCGTTAATTTCCCCTCAAGTACGTTCAGATCGATCCAAAATCAACTGTTCATTAGTTTCAGAAAATAAAGATGCTGCTGGATGACTTTTAACTGTGCATAACTTGCTTTTCAATTAAATATTGAGTTTTAATTGCATTAAACCTAATCTATTGACATAAACATATGTATTCCTGAGACGTGTTTTAGTTCATCACATTTACGCATACTTTATAAACCGCATTGTTTAGGTAAGGAGTCTAGTGGTTTGTTTAGTTTCCTAGTAATATAATTGGTAATTACTTAACTGCAGTTTTTTGTCTATGGAATTAAACCTCCCAGTAAATCTCCATAATTCACGTTTCATAACTATACCTATTAATTAGTGACTCGGTTAAATGCATTTGATATTAATTCGTTGTGCGATCTGGTTGAAATTTTAGTTATCACAGAAATACATTGAGGATATAAACTATTAAATGTTTTTTACGTGAATAAAGCAATAACATATACTATGAGGAAGTTAGTCCATACGCTTTTGATACAAACTTCCGTTTATGTGTGTAATAGTCTGTTAATTACCGCAATCTTAAGCTTAACATAAACATCAAACGTTTTATGTATCAACACTTCGTTTTTATTCTTGATATAATTTACAGGCTTTCACTATTTGTAATGTTTGTTATGGGAAATGTTTGATATATGAAGCACATGGAAGAGTTCTAACGCTCATGTTTAAAATGCGTTTATGAGCTCTGTGTTTAAATCACTTTCTGTTGAAAGGTTTACAAACAGCTGTTTCATTAAATATTGATTGTATTTTATAATTCCTCGCAAACTGATGCTGTTCTACAACAGTTTTCGAACACAGTCCTTAAAAATGTGATAAGTATGATAAATCACACAGAATTGACATTTCCCTACTAGCCAACAGCCTTAAGTAATAACGAATAGAGATAAGCTTCTATTATTTTTCTTGCTAGCCAAGAACACAGTATTGTTCAGCATAAATAACTAAAGAATCTACTTCACTTTCTACCTTAGATCCTAAAGAACCTTTAAGGTTACTCAGTTGTAGTTTGAGAGGAGCTGTAACGTAATATACATTGTTCGATATGCTTTGCGGAAAAGTATCTATCCAGCTTAGATTTTTAACGGCTAATGCATGAGGCTGGTTTGCTTAGATATCAGGCGGTAAGCGGATGTAATATATTTCTGATTTATACCATGTACTCAACAGTTTACTCGAACAGACATTAATTTGATAGTGAAAAAACCCCTCAGTTATTAGAATCAAGACTTTAATAACACGATAAGAAATCCAGTGTTACAGAGGAGAATTGTATGTAGTAAAAACCTTACGTATTACGTATCATCCCGTGGTAGGTGGCTTAAATACAAAAATACTTTTCCACAAAGTACTCACACACCAGACTAATACTTCTGTTCCATTTGTTTACTGAAGACATTAAGGTTTCAAAAACTGGTCAACTGTTTATAATTTCACAAAAATCTGTTTTCACTTGAAACATAAGTTTGAGGCAAAAGTCATGTAAATAAATATATGCAGGTTTAACTGAATTTCCATCGGGATATTTGGACGGTTCGTGCATGTTCAGAGTTTGTCTGGTTATGTAAATATAAAGCTTTTTTTTGAAAAACTTATTTCATCTTAAACGAGATTGATAGGAGTGGTTACTAACCAAAGTTCGTCTAAAAAACAAATTTAACCATTTTTGTCTTTACATCCAAAATGACATGTGTAGGAAGTGGGTTTTTCAGCTTACGAAACATATGGAACTGCAACACGTGGTAACAGTAGTATATTCTATTTTGAAGAGGAATTTAAGTTTACTAAGGACATTTCAACAAAAGAAAATAGAGAAAGCAGTTAAATCGCGATACAAAAAGTAACCATTGAGTCGTCTCATTATAGTGTATGCTGTTTCGGTTAGGGCAATATTTAATAAATTTAATTCCTTGCATTTAGTAAATATTTTAAGTAATATCATATAACATTACTTTACATACAATTCTTAATCGTTACCCCTTTAGACTGAAATCGAAAGATAATTTATTAAGAATGTTTTAGTTGGTGTCTTTCTTTAAAGTAATCTCATAATTAAATGAGTTTTATAACATTCACCACTATGTTATATGCGTAGTGCTGGTTTTTAGTAGACTGAGTTAATTGCCGCTTGATATTAATATAATCGATTCCTAGGCGCAAATACTTAAATTACCCAAGGACTATAATATTCATTAAGAAATTTCACTGCTATCTGATGTCTATACTTTAAAGTATTTATTTTGGTCAGCGTTTTCTCAACAATATGGTTTTCTACAGGATCAGGTTTCTGAATCCATTGCCAACCCTCCTTCCTTGCACGGACTTGAAACCAGGAGTAACCCTGTAAGAGCTGCAGACAAAGATGGAAAAACTCTAGAAGAGGTCGAAACTTTCACATATCTATGGGACATCATCAATTAACAAAGAGAATCTGATGCAGATATAATGGCGAGGATTGGCATAGCACGAGCAGCATTCCTACCTTTGCAGAACATATGGAACTCAAAGCAAGTGTCAGACAACATCATAGTAAGAATTCCTTAATATAAATGTTAAGACGGTTCTACTGTACTGAGCTGAAACTTGGAGAACTACCACGACAGTCATCGAATAGGAAAAGCATTTATAAACAATTGTTTACACAAGATATCTGATGTTCTTTGACCGTATACCATCAGCACCAGCCCATTGTTGTAGAGAAAAACCCAGCTTCCATCTAAATAGGAAATGAGGAAAAGACCTTGGAGGTCGATAGGACATACATTGAGAAAATCATCAAACTGCATCACGAGGCAAGCGCTTCTTTAGAATCATGAGGGGAAACGAAAAAGAGAAGGATCATGGAACATATTGCGTCGGTAATTGGAAGTACACATGAAAAGGATGAATAGCAGCTGGAAAGAACTGGAAAGGATTGCTCAGGACAGAGTTGGATGGAGAATGTTGGTGGGCAGTCTGTGCTCTATCACAAGGGGTAACGGGCGAATGTGCGTGAGTAATCTCTATCCTTGAAGTACTAAAAAATATGCCTCGATGAAAAATTAAATACAACACAATGACGGAGCACAGTTTTATGTTTATCTTTGAGTTACAAATTTTTTGTGGGGTCTTAAAGTACTCTAATTCTGATTATTTTCAACGATAGGGAATTTACAGATCAATGATTCTTAGCAGAAACATTCAGTTTGGTATCAATAAATCTAAGTGGTGAAAAATTTTTCCAACCATCAAATTAAAATGATGTTTTACTGATCATTAGTTTGACAATAATAATCTATAAGTTATATTCGTCACAGACTGATCTCAGTTGAGAACGAAATAGCACAAATAGCTTTTCACTTTAGTATTTTTTTCCAGTGGTCCTCTGAGAGGCCTGATTGTCTTGTATTCGATCTCTATCGACACTATGAGTGAATATTGTTGATGAGTAACATACTATGACAAACTAACTATTTATTACTCTCTAATTTGTAGTGCTACGTCAACTGAGATTAACCTATGAAAAATTTGTTTACCTGTTTTTCTGTTACTCTATTCTTTTTTTAGCACTTTCATCATCCTGTCCATCCATTCAACTATTCTTGAATAGAGATGTGTAGTGAGTATGTCATTATTTCGAAGATTTTTCTCATGTACCTCTACTGACAATTATCCATTCTCATATACAACTAATCTTGTACAAGAGAATACTAAAAAATTTCCTAATAATGGTAATAATAATTGTATCATATGTCATGAATCCGTTATAACTTGTTTAAATAATCAATCTATTAAAAAGCAGAAATATTTGTCATCAATTACAAAATATAAGCAATTATCGCCGTTAACAACGGAAGAAAATCAAAATATTCAAACAAAACAACCAGGAACTATGTCAGTTTGTATTTCATGTACAGATATACTTGATAATAACAAGAATCCAGTAAGTTTCTTATTTTTAAAATGTTAATTTAAACGAAACAAACAGTAGACTTAAGATCCATTTGGTGTTGTTTTACTTGTATCTTCCGATTGTTATTTAAGACTGCGATTGATCTATCTCATGTTGGCGTATGTACATAGCGTTAAGTCACAAGCTTTTTAAGTGAAGATGGATAGTGACTAGCACTGAAATGCAGTTTTACGCGTGTTTCGTCGTATTCGGGACTCGTCAGCTGGATGTAACTACATTTCAGATATCATATAAGGACATAGTACAGGAAGAAAAAATGAGTTGGTAGAAAGAAAGGTATGAAGCGATTTAAATCTCTTAGTTTAAGGGAAGACAGAGAGTGTATACACCGACGCCATTGTGATAGATTTTGAGCCATGTCACCAAGAGTCTCCAGCCATTGGTTACGATAGTCACGTGGACCACAAATGTATAGTCTACATCTACCAACGTGCCATATACCAGAAGTTAGTGACTTCAGTGACTGATGCCACTTTTCGGTTTGGTTGCTCCTAACTTTCTTAAAACCATCCCCAACACTAGTCAGCATTGTGTTCAGGCATACGGAACATGTATCCCAACCATCTCAGTCTATGAATATTCACAACTTCATTAATCGATTTACCGAAATTCCTTAATGAAGTGCATCTAACCTCACTATTACTTACCCAGTGAGCCGCGTTTCGCAGCCATACTGCAAAACAAAACGAACTGCCGCGCAGATATCTCTCCTTCGCCATAGGTGATGCAAGTTGGCAAAAGCCAAACGAGCTTTTCAAATTCGTGCTGAGGTTTCTATTTCTATTGTTAATGAAACTTTACATTTTACTATTGTTTAACTAATATTCAAGACTTGTTTCTACAATATATGTTATTTTCTCCATTTAAGTAAATTTATTTCAAAAGTATGTAAATTATTTAAGTTGTTAGGTGATATGAATGTAAGAGTTCATTAATCTATGCCATATATATAGAATATTAAAATGATTACTATTAAAATGCCAACATCTATCATTTAAATAATGAAATGATAGTAAGTGTACATATTGGTTTATAAAAGTTATCTTTAATATCAATAATGAATAGAATCCATTTCAGTCAGTCAGTAACAACATGGAACTTTGTACGTATGTAATAAGTATTTCGGAAATGTTTCATTGTCTAAATGAAAAAAACTTTGAATCATGTTGATTTGATTCCACCTTTTTTCTCTTTGTAGAATAAGATAATTGAAGTAGTAAGAATATGTAAGAACAGAATAACCTATTATAACTTTTCTAATCAGTCAATCAGTAACAACATGGAACTTTGTACGTATGTACATCAGTTCAAGTTGCCATATCATATTAGCACACAGATACAATTGTCCATTGAAATCCCATAGTGGTAGAGATAGTAAGAGTCTAAGCAGTAATCAGAGACATTAGGGTTTGAAGATGTTATTTAAGGAGTACAATCCAATGAAATAAATTTGGAGAGAGAAAATAAAGGGACATGAAAAATTCAGAAGATTAGAATTCGAGAGAACAGAAAGTGTAGATGCACCTGTGCCACCGCACATGATTTTGTGCCATGTGTCATCTAAAGTCTCTAACCGTTGGTTGCTATCGTCTCTCGCGGACTCCAACCATTTAATATTGAATATTCTAAATATTCTTTCAAATAAGTTGTTAAGTTGTATTCCTTTTAATTCCTTTTGAAATTCATTAATAGTTAACTTAATTTCTAAAAAGAATGAATCAGTCTAGAAATGAAACTGTATTATAAACATTCATTCAAGTAATATGGAAATACATTTTAGAGTATTGGAATTCGGTAAAAACTATCTATGTGATAAATGTCATATGTTATATGTATAATTAACCTTTACAAATAATAGATTAGGTTCAATTTTAATTGTTATTATCTAGAGCTTAGATTCTTAATATACTGCATATGACTTGACCAGTTGAACGTTAGAACATTCCCAAATGACAAATGAAAAGACAGAAAACAAATGAAAGGAATGTTATACTCAACAATATCAATTATAGTATAAGACCGTCAAGTATTTATAGTTTTTAGTAAAAAACACATACAGAGGGTTATTAGCCTTTGTTAAATAGGGAAACTCCATGTAAGAATTCTAGAATATTCTTCCAAAGAAATGATTGCATGGAATATCTTCAGATCTTTTTGAGCTTCTTAAGGCTTCCTCAAGTTCATCTCGTGAATTATCCTCAAATATTTCCATTTTTTCAAATCAGATTATAATGTAATGTTATAAATTGTTAGATTGTGATGATATGATTGAAAGTAAATATCCTCATCGTTATGTAATCTGAAATTCTTAACTTTTACTATGTAAACTTCTGATGAATCCTTTATTCCAAAATGAAATAATTATTATTTGATTTGATGGATATTAGTTCTTTATTGACAAATCATTGTTAACAAATTGAAATAATCGCCATAGAAACTATTTTATTATTGTCATTTTATTCTATATTTAAACAGTATAAAAAGATATAACTATTTATGTGATTACAAAAAAAACGAAGGAATCAATTTTTCATTACATAACTGAATATCTAATGTCTTGTATCTTTTCTCTATCCTAATTATCACTAGTTACATGTACCAAAAATATAAGCTCACATACATACATACATATATGCACATACACATACACACGCACACACAATTTTCCTGCCATATCTTTCATAAGTTTCACTTTCTATCTTTCTTCTTTATCCTTATTCACTGATATATTATCTTTTTTGTTGTTGTTGCCTCATTCTTTTTTCTTTCTTAATTTTATTGTATTAAACATTGACTAGATTATTTTATTGACCTTTTATTCACCTCTTACGTAGTGTACGAGAAGTAGTAATAAGTAATGTTAGAAGTCTATTGAAATGACTAGATTGATATTTACGTTAGTAAACATTTAAAAGAAGTTGGTATAGATATATACACCGTTTATCAATTACCATATTTCAGTTTTCTTCCATTTGTGTTAGTATTTCTACATGTTTACTAGTTTTGTTGTCTATCTAGTACAATAGATTTATCTATCTATCTATGTATATGATGTTTAAATCGAATGTATTCAATGAATCATTAAATATTGTAAATAAGATGACTAGGTCTAATCTACAGACAAATAATAAAGTATATCAGTAGTAGTGGATGATGAAGAAAAGTAATATCTATAAGATGATCAATGAATAATCTAGAAATATGTTTTTGATACATTAGTTTCTTTGAATGTAATAAGTATTTCGGAAATGTTTCATTGTCTAAATGAAAAAAACTTTGAATCATGTTGATTTGATTCCATTTTTTTTTCTCTTTGTAGAATAAGATAATTGAAGTAGTAAGAATATGTAAAAACAGAATAACTTATTATAACTTTTCTAATCAGTCAATCAATAACAACATGGAACTTTGTACGTATGTACATCAGTTCAAGTTGCCATATCATATTAGCACACAGATACAATTGTCCATTGAAATCCCATAGTGGTAGAGATAGTAAGAGTCTAAGCAGTAATCAGAGACATTAGGGTTTGAAGATGTTATTTAAGGAGTACAATCCAATGAAATAAATTTGGAGAGAGAAAATAAAGGGACATGAAAAATTCAGAAGATTAGAATTCGAGAGAACAGAAAGTGTAGATGCACCTGTGCCACCGCACATGATTTTGTGCCATGTGTCATCTAAAGTCTCTAACCGTTGGTTACTATCGTTTCGCAGATCCCAACCAGATAGTCTACATCTACCAACATGGCTCACTTTACTTGTCAATGACTTCATGGATTTGTGCTATGTTTTCGTCTGGCCGAATTGTTATTTCGAAATGTAGATTTTATATCTCTCTCTTTTGTTTCTTCTTTCTGTCGTTGTTTCTTAATTTCTTTCATTATTTGTGTACTCGTTCCCTGGACTAAAGTTACGCTACCTTAACCAGAGTTTACACGTGAATTATGGAGTTCTTACAATACAATACTGTAAATGAAATGAGTATTACAACCAGTATTTGACTGAATAAGTTGAAATAAATTGAACATGAGGTATTTGGTCATCACTAATAATAATAATAATAATGACCAAACGTACTGAAATCATAATCCTTATTCTTCAAACTGCTTTATCACCCTCATTTAGTTCTAGTTAGTAGGTATACACTTTCAAGGTCACTTTGTCGTCGCTCAAAAGCTTGTCCATGAATTATAATCTCACTATGTATACCTAAAAAAATAACTTATTTACATTGGCTTCAAACTATTCAATCGGTTAAATTCACTTGACATTGTCTACTTGAATCTTACCATTGATGCTTAAGACTGCAATTGATCAGTGGGTAACGTGATGTTGTTTGAAGTGAACGGTACTGTGTTCGAGTCTCAGAGTGAACATCAACTCTTCTGACGAGTCTCAAGTAGGACGACACGCGCTAGTAAGCAGGTAGACACTCTCAAAGTCGCATTTGCGTTGCTCAAAAGGTCATCCATAAATTATAGTCACATCAATATGCTTATCACTTACTGATTACTTACGCCTGTTACTCCTCGTGAAGGAGCATAGGCCGCTCGTTGTTGTTGTTCCATATGCTCTTCAATTGTGGAAATGCGACGCTTGCTTTGCCAATCCTTGCCTTTACGTCTGCATCTAAGCCTTCTTGTTCATCGATGATGCTTTCTAGGTATGTGAAGGACTCTACATTTTCCAGAGTTTCGCCATCAAGAGTGATTGGATTGCTGTTCTCCGCTTTGAATTTGAGGACCTTGGTTTTCCCTTTGTGTATGCTGAGGCTTACCGATACAGAGACTGCTGCTACACTGGCTGTCTTTATCTGCATCTGTTCGTGTGTATATGATAGGAGGGCTAGGTCATCTGTGAATTCCAAATCGTCTAATTGATTCTGAGCTGTTCATTGTATTCTGTGTTTTCCTTCAGATATCGAGGTCCTCATAATCCAGTCGACCACCAGAAGAAAAAGGAAGGGAGAGAGTAAACAGCCTTGTCTGACTCCGGTCTGTACTTGGAATGAATCTGTCAGCTGTCCTCCATGCACGACTTTGCACTGTAGTCCATCGGGTGAGTTCTGGATAATATTGACAATCTTCTCAGGAACTCCGTAGTGTCGAAGAAGTTTCCATAATGTCTTCCTATCTACACTGTCAAATGCCTTTTCATAATCAATGAAGTTTATTGACGACGATGATCCGTAGTGTTGTAATTTGTTCTGTGCACAACCGATTCTTACGGAATCCAGTTTGTTGATCTCAAAGTTAGGCGTCTACTCCATCTTTCATCCGGTTCAGCAACACTCTGTTAAACACTTTTCCTGGTACTGACAGTAGTGTAATGCCTCTGTAGTTTTCACATTTGCTCAGGTCTCCTTTCTTGAGAATCTTGACGAGGTGCCCTTCTTTCCAGTCCATCGGCACTTGTTCCTCCTCCCAAATCTTTTTGAATAGAAGGTGAAGCATGTTTGTAGTTGCTTCGATGTCTGACTTCAGTGCTTCAGCTGGTATGTTGTCTGGTCCTGCTGCTTTCCCGTTCTTGATTTGTTTGACGGACATTCTGATTTCTTCCTTCGTTGGTGGGTTGACGTCTATGGAAAGATGTGTGTGTGCTGCTTCGATGTCCGATGGATTCATTGGAGCCGGCCTATTCAGGAGTTCCTCGAAGTATTCAACTCATCTGTTCCTCTATTCTTGGATTTCAGTGATTGTACTTCCTTCTTTTTCCTTCATCGGTCTCTCTGGTTTACTATATTTCCCTAATAGTTTCTTCGTCGTATCATATAGTTGTTTCATATCTCCTTCTCTTGCAGAGTTTTCCGCCGTCGTTGCTAGTTCTTTCACGTATTTCTGTTTGTCGGCTTTAATGTTCTTCCTTACTTGCTTGTTTGCTTCTATGTACTCATTTTGTTCTTTGATTTTCTCTGCTCGTGTTTGGCTGTTTTTAATTGCTGTCTTTTTGTTCTTTTTTCCTTTTATCGTGTTCAGTGTTCCTATAGAGACCCATTCCTTATGGCTATGCTTCTTAAGTCCCAGGACCTCTTGACACGTTGAAATTAATGCTTCTTTGATACTTTTCCAGTTGTACTCTATAGTAGTTCCTTCTTCCTTCAGTAGATCCTGTAAGGCTTGGAACCAGTTGTTGAGAGCTATCTTGAATTCGTTGATTTTGTTAGTATCTCGAAGGAAGGCTGTATTGAACCTTGGTAGTGTTGTTTGTCCAATTGTCCAATTCTTTTTTAGCTTCAGTTTTAATTTGGCCACAACTAAGTGGTGATCTGAAGCTATGTCAGCTCCTCTACTGGTCCTCACATCTTCCATTAACCTTTGGAATTTTTTATTGATACAAATCTGATCTATTTGGTCCCCTGTAGTGTGGTCCAATGAGATCCATGTAGCTTTTAGTATACGTCTGTGTGGAAATATTGTGCCGCCTACGACCGGTTTGTCGATTACGCATAGATTCGCAAATCCTTTTCCATTTTTGTTTCTCTCTCCAAGTCCATGTCGTCCCATGATATCTTCACAAACGGTGTTGTCCATTCCGACTTTGCATTTAGATCTCCCATTAGAATGGTGAGGTCGTTTTTTTGGAACCTCTCTTTGATTGATTGCAGCCTCTCATATAATTGATCTTTACATTGGTGGGTGCTTAGCACTGAATAATATTCATTGTAACTCACTCCTTCTTTGTTTTGAATGATACTTTGATGATTCTGGATCCGTGAGATTCCCATCCTACAAGTGCATTTCGTGCTACTTTGGAAAGCATTAGAGCGACTCCCTGAGTGTGTGGAGCTTTTCGCCCTTCGTGACCAGAGTATAGCAGTATCTCTCCCGTATCTAGCCTTTATTTTTCAGGTTGAGTTCAATGGGTTTTGTCGATTCTAAGTACTGCCAAATTGTATCTCCTCATTTCCGTTGCTATTTGTCTGATATTCTCTGTCTACCACAGTGTCTGGACGTTCCATGTACCTGTCAATATTGTTGCTCTGGTTGTTAGAAGGGGCATCGGCCTCGTGGCTTCCGAAGGAAATCGGCTTTTACCATAAGGCGTCATAATTCTTCTAAATGAAGACCTTGTAACTCTCAGGGCAGAGTTTAAATGGTTTGAATTATTTTTTCTGGTAAGCGTTTTTTTAGCGAGTTAGTTTTCTACGGGATGGGGAATCTAACCACATGCCCAACTCTCCTTTTTTACCCGGACTTGAGACCGGCAGTAACTCAAGAAGAGCTGCAGGCGGAATTATTATGTTTATTACTTAAGCTTAATTCTATATTCAGTGAAGAGCAATTTTTTTTAATTAATCATGGTAAACGTTTTTTTATATTTTTCTTTTTCCCTAAATGAATAGCAACTAAGTGATAATAAGATGTTAGATGTAACAACTTCATCTTATCAATACAATTTAACACATCCATACACTACTAATATTATTACTACTAATCCAACAACAACATCACCAATATCAACAGTAAAAACATGTATTTCAATGAATGATACTTCTGAAAAATCAATTAGTTTACAATGTTCTAAATTTATTACACGTTGGATAACACAATGTCCATTTCAATGGAATATAAAATCATCAAATCAACAAAAAACTATAATAAATAATAATAATAATTGGCAAACAACAACATCAACAACTATCATTTCTAATAATCCTATTGATCCTATATATACACAATCCAGATATCAACAAGATCTATTAAATCCAATCAACAAAACAATTCAAACTACTAATAATGATGAAAATATTCATGAATTTATTGAAGAATGTGTTATACCTGTACCTGTATTTAATTTATTTCTATATTTAGCACAAGAAGGTGTTTATGCAAGAGATTTATTTCGACGACCTGGTAATATTGCTCAAATTAAAGTAAGTAGTATTGTTTAAAAGATCTAGTTATATATGTATATATGACAGATAGTTTTTGTAATTTGCATTGAAGTTACTTACTTACTTACTTACGTTTGTTACTCTTCGTGAAGGAGCATGGGCCGCTCACAAGCATTCTCCATCCAACCCTGTCCTGGTCAATCTTTTCCACGTTTTATTCATCCTTTTCATATCTGATTCTATTTCCTGACGTAATGTGTTCTTTTGGCCTTCCTCTTTACCGCTTACTTTCAGGATTTCAAGTTAGGGAACTCCGCCTGTAGCTCTTTTAGAGTTACTGCCGGTCCCGAGCTCGGATAAAAGAGGAGGGATCGGCATGGGTTTAGCGACCCCATCCTGTAGAAAACTAAATCGCTAAAAGTCGCTAACCAGGGAAAATAATTCAAACTATTTAAACTCTGCACTGGGAGTTAGGAGGTCTTCATTTATAAGACCTATGACGCCTCATGGTACAAGCCGATTTCCTTCGGAAGTCACGAGGCCGATGCCCTTTCTAACAACCAGAGCAACAATTTTTATATATATGTGATAACAGGTCTTGGATTTTGGTGCGAAATTCCTATATCTATTTGTATAAGTAAACTTTTGTCATTATAGCTGATGTCAGTTCGTGGTGAAAACTCCCTATATCTAATTTCTAACATTAATCATTAATTGTAAATCATAATTGTAATTCCTCACAGCGGTTTATAATCGTCATTTGGTTCTGGTCATTAAGTGGATACTCTCAAGTTTAGTCTAGCGTTGCTCCAACTTATAAATCTTGCCAGATTTACTATAAATTATGTGTATTTAACTGATAAACTGAATTTTCAATAGTTGAAATTATGAGTCGATTGAAGCTAGACCATCGTCCAGTGCTTCCAGGTTTTTCATAGTTGGTCTAGCCTTCAATTGACCCATAATCTCAATTATTGAAATGGCTACAATCTCCACAAAACCCCTTCTGAAACTAAATTTTATTTCACTATAATTTTTCTATATTGATGAGAGAGGGTGAAGAATTCAATCAAAATCTATCCATTTATTGATTAACATTTTAATGTTAATTCATTTATTACTGGTTATTATCATGTTTATTTCTTTTGATTATGCCCTTCATTGACCGTTTTTAAGGACAATATTTAGTAAACAATATTGAGTCTTACCAGATAATTTTTGAAGTTTGTTTGTTTCCAATCTATCAATAAGGTTGAAATGGATACATTCATTAAAAGTTATGTAGATAATCTATAATCTAATTTTTGTAAACTAATTACTTAATTTGTAGGCGGCCTATACTCCTTCACGAGGTATAATAGGCATAAGTAAGTAAGTAATTAGTTAAGTTGTAATTAATATCTATTAGAAGATTATTTAAAGTAATGTGAATTATTATGAAGTTGAACATATTCAAGATGCTGCTCTTAGTTTTCGATAGAGTTTTGTTCTTTGATCTAGATGGTTTAGTTATGAATCTTTCATTATACTTCTGAACGACATTATCAGTACAAGCTTCAAATAGAAGTGAAATGTTCGAATTTCTCTACATGTTGTGGTTCACAACTTGTGTTCTATACACAATCCATTGCAAAAATGTCTACATATTTTGTATAAACTTGGTAATAATGAAAGATTGATTGATGATTTAAATAGAACAAATGATTTAATATAAACTTTAGTCTAGTTGATCCTGTATAGAATCTTTCATAAGGACTAATGATTAATCTAATTTTAAGAAGAAACAGTGGTGATAATATAATTCATAAATGAACCAATCAGATATAAGATAACAGGTCTTGGATTTTGGCGCGAAATACACCCATTCAATTTGAATAAATTCAGTTTTGGCATTATAGCTGATGTTTAATGTAATTCCTAACCTTAACTATCAACTGTAAATCGGAATTTTAATTCCTCACACTGGTTTATAAGCCTCGTTTGGTTCTAGTTATTAGGTGAACACTCTTAAGGTCAATCTAGCGTCACTCAAAGGTCGTCCATAAATGATAGTCTTACCGAAACAGCTTATTGAAATCAATCTTGAAATGTAAACTTCAGTATTTTAGTGTAGACTTTGCTAATTATTTCATGTCAGTTGTATAAATTTTATCAGTAAATTATTTTAAATCAAATGTAAATTGGAGAAAATTCTTTTACCTGAGAGTGATGTTTACTGGTGAATCATAGTAAAAGAAATATTCAGTAAGGAATTCCTTACCATTTTTCATACACGACTCCATTGAGGATAAAACTCAGGACCTTCAAAACTAGTGAGAAGCTCTTAACTTTTAGATTTCTGAGTTAAAACCTGAACATTTGTATCTCCATTTCTACTGCATTCACGAGAAACGGCGATCATCATCCAGTGTCAGTGGTTGGTAGTTGCCTAATTCTCTATATGACTGAACTCTTCTAGTTAGCGCTTCTCACTAGAGCCAAAGAAATTATCTCTCAAAAAACATCATTTTCATTAGTGTACGGGGTTTGATATAAAAAGGATGAATAGCAAGTAGAAAGAGCTGGTTTTGATTGAGAGAATGTCTTTTATATATTAAGTGGTCAATAAGTAATGAAACTATTGGAATCGACAAATTTTATTCGCAGTAAATGCGTAACGTTAACAACCAGTGAAGATCAAGAAGGAATGGATATATGTTTCGCTCTAGTATAGAACTCATTGACAGTAAGTATTTATGACCCATTCACTGGAGCTCGAATCTGTGACCTTTAATTCAGCAGAGACCACTTAACATTTAGTCTATTGAGTCTGCACTAAATGAATTATTTCTACTAATATTATTAATCATATTACTGATGATAATAATAATAGTAATAGCATAAAAGGATTATAGATGAAACTGATTTATAGAAAAATCGGAAGAGATGATAATAGACATATTGTAGATAAAGTGATTAATGATGCTTTTAATTTCAGCATGAAATCGATACTGTTAATTGTTTATGCTAAATAAAATAATAATGTAAATGTCTACACTGAATACAAGCAGTTATATATACATCTCTGTAGATTGCATACATTATTAACTGATTTCATTTAAAGAGCTGATGAGAATGACTGTTACTTTTATATATGGAACTACTTACATTCAAATTCATTCTTACCGGTGGTGTATGTCACAACCTTGACGTGACTAAATTTTCCTATTTATTGCTTCCAACTGTAACTTGATGTCAAAAGCATTAGTGTGGATTTGGGAGGTGAGAATGGAGAGTGTAAAGTGTGGAGCGTTCGACGACTGTGCGTATAAACCCTGAGCAGATGCCATGCCATGCCAACACCAAAAAGCATTAGTGACAACATAATTTATGCTAATATGTAAGGTTATGAAGATAAGTAAATTTGTTACTTTATTTGGTATAAAACAAAAACTCAAAAAGTAATGGATATTTATTTTATTCTAGTATATATCTATTCAGTATTAAGTGTAAACAATCTCATCGGAGATCGTGCCAAAGACTTACGGGGGATCGCAGAACATCAAGCTTAAACCATTAAGTTTAAGTTTAATGTTCAGTATTTCTAGTTTTATTCAATACCCGATAACTTCATCAAAGTGAGTTAATCATTCTATATTGTATCAGAATTGTTTAAATATATAAAATATGATTCATTTTAAATTCACTTGATGTTGTTTTACTTGTATCTTCCCATTGTTATTTAGGACTGCAATTGATCAGTCTCATGTTGGCATATGTGCATCGTGTGTAGATTACCTCGATATTGACTGAAGTCACAAGCTTTTATAAGCAAAGATGGATAGTGGCTAACAATGGAATGCAGTTTAACGCGCGTTTCATCCTATTTGGGACTTGTTAGCTGGATGTACCAGAAGTGAACATCAACTTTGGGATGCAGGTACATCCAATTGACGTGTCCCAAATAAGACGAAACTTGTGTCCTGGATTCCACTACTAAGCCCTATCCATCTATGATTCTTATTAAGATGAATCGAATTGAAATTATTATCTAAGTATAACTATTGTACTGCCCTGTTTTCTTTTTTTTTCTTTGATAGCATATATTACAACGTTTTGCATCGGATCAAATGATTGATTGGAAAGATTATAATATTCATACTGTAGCAACAGTTGCTAAACGTGTATTATTTAATATACCAAATGGTTTAATTGGTTTGAAAGGTGAAAAACAATTATTACGTACTGCTTTATTAACACAACAACCATTAAATGATAATAATCAATTAAAAACAATATGTAATACATCTATAATACATCATCATGATACATTTAATTTAGAAATTGGTAATAAATCAGAGAATTTACTCCTAGAATTAGATGAACCAACAAATACTTCACCATTAATATCTGTATTAGATGAAACACATTTAAAAGATAATAACAAGAATCTATATTATACAAATAAAGAATATACAGAACAATTCAATGATTTAATAAAACGTGCTATAGTTATTACAAATATTGATACAACTCAACAATCTAATACGGTGAATTTATTATTTTCATATGGTTCAATAAAACAAATCTATCAATTAACTCCAGTGGATATAGAACGTGTACAAGTTTTTCAAAAGTGAGTTTTATACAATTCTGAAAAATATGATAATGTTTTTTCCGGTTAGCCTTTTGTTTTAGCGCTTTAGTTTTCTACGAGATAGAATCGATAACCCTATGCATAACCCTCCTCCTTCATCCAGGATTGAGACCAGCAGTGATCCCCCACAGGAGTTGCAGGCGGAGTTTGTTTTAAGAACTATTTTTTTCAGGTTTCAACTCAAAACCAGACCGAATTGCAATACTACGGATCATTGTGGAACAATTAGTCGAATGGAATTCATCACTATACATTTACTTCATTGACTACGAGAAAGAATTTAATAGCGTGGCTCTTCTATCGCACACGGAACAACAAATGCAGGAGAAGAAGATCAGTGTAGTAGCAGCCTTAGCAACAGTAGGTCTTAATATATACAAAGAAAAAAGCTAGATTCTCCGATACAACACGATATGCACCAATCGAATCACACTTGAGAGAGAAGCTTTGGAGGACCTAAAAACCTTTACATATCTGGAAAACATCACTGACGAGCACAGTGGATCTGATGCAGATGTGAAGGCGCGGATCGGCAAAATAAGAGCTGCATATTTACAACTAAAGAACATCTGGAACTCAGAACAACTGTCAACCAATACCAAAGTGGAAATTTTCAATATAAATGTCAAAACAGTTCTACTGTATGGGGTGGAAACTTGCAGAACTACGAAAGCCATCATTCAGAAGATACAAATGTTTATTAAGAGTTACCTACGCAAAATACTTCGGATCCGTTGGCCAGACACTATCAGCAACAATCTGCTGTGAGGGAGAACAAACCATATTCCGGCGAAGGAAGAAATCATGAAGAAGCACTGGAAGTGGATAGGATACACATGGAAGAAAGCACCCAATTGCGTCACAAGGTTGGCTCTCACTTGGAATCCTCAAAGCCAAAGGAGGTGAGGAAAACTAAAGAATGCATTAGGCCGAAAAATGGAGACAAGCCTGAGAAAAATGAACAAGAATTGGATGGAACTAGAAAAGAAGGTCGAGGACAGAGTTGGTTGGAGAATGCTGGTCGGCGGGGGTAACAGGCGTAAGTAAGCCATGATGGTATCTGTTAAGTTCATAAGAAGGTGAATTAGTTGATATAATTGAGAATCTGTATTAACTAATTTGGTTGGGATATGTATTATGCAAGCTCAACAATCGCCAAACTCAATGTACGATGTTGGTTGACTTGTGATCAGGTTGTAATGAAGCTGATTACTTTCTAATTGAGTTGTTCCATTACCTCATGAAGTCGTTTACTGTTGATTTTTATTTGTTGAAATGTACAGAGTTTTCTCCTAAGATATAATATCTATTATAACCGATGTTTAGAAATGTTAATTTAAATGGTTTGGAATTGATCACAATCTTTTAGATCGATTCGTTCTTTATATTCCCTAAGATTCTATATTTAGAAATTTTGTATATGTTTAATCCAGAATTATTGGCGTAATAAATTTTTATTCTTCCTCTGTTGCGAAATATTTGGTTAAGATTAGTCACATTGTTAATATCAAACTAGCCATTGTAGTTTTGTACAAAAGTTTCCAAATGATTATATTAAGGTTTATCAAAGCCTTGACTATAAGAAAATTGAATTCTCCCTTTATGTATTTGTTTTTCACCATTAATCTACCCTGGTGATATTGATTGATTTTCCAACGATGTTTTTACATAGGGAACTTTATTATTATTATCTTTGTTTCCGTTTATCTTTTAATTTGTCCAATTGACCTGTTATGATTCGTATATAGTTTCGTTACCAAGTATACTTATAATCAGATTGTTTTAAATGTATTTCACAAGTATATCATATAATCTTCATTTTCTCGTCGGATTATCCAGATTTTTGATTGAGATCATAAACCGATTGACGTTAGACCACCGTTGGGAACCTAATGTGAGCACATATTAATTATTATTAAAGGGGTTGTGGAGATTATTAGATTTTTTATTGCGATCACGAGATCCATGTCGGGCAGAGACAGGTATCTACCTCAGTACAATGGAAGATGATCACGAAATTTCGTGGATTGGTTGATGTTAGACACTAACACCACTGGATGCTGGTTCACTGGTCCAGTAGGTTAAGCGTTCACGCGCGAGACTGAAGACCCTGGGTTCGGATCCCGCGGGTGGGATCGTGGATTAGCACTACTGAGGAGTCCCACAATAAAAGAAATGGCCGTCCATTACTACCAGTTTTCCAACGGTGGTCTAACATCAATCGATTCATGATCTCAATCAAAAACTTAATAAACTCCACAACCCTTATAATGATAATTATCCAGATTTATCAAAGCAACTAATTGTTTGAAGTTTTATTATCACTGTTCTATATTCACTTATTATGAGCAGATTATATTTTCTACAATTCTGCTACTACTCTGACAAAATCTGTAGTCTTTCAAATACTTTAAATGATAGTACTATGATACTTAGTATCTGTTGATCTTTCTTTAAAATTCATTTTGTTACTTTATCACTGATTTATGTTGATACTCTTGCCTAACATTGTTGAAATGCTTATCACAGTCGATGGATTGATCTTTAATGTGATATGTGTAAACCAATGATGAAATGTTATATCAAAATGTATACTACCTAAGTTAATGTTTAAATTCACTTGGTGTTGTTTTACTTGTACAAACGTAAGCAAGTGGCTATCAGGACTAAGTAGCTAAGGGAAGAACGCGATGAAGTTTGAAGCGAATGGTAATGGGTTCGAGTCTCGGAGTGAATATCAACCCCGCGATGCAGATACGTCCAGCTGATGAGTCCCAAATAGGTCGAAACGCGAGTAAAACTGCATCACAATGATAGTCACTATTCATATTTGTTTAAGAAGTTAATGTTTGTTTTTCTGTTGTTTATTTTTTTTTCAAAAATCTTTAAAGTATACTTAAAGATTTAACTATAGCACATCGTCAACTAACTATAATGATATTTGGTATATTACATCAACTTGTATTCAATATGGCATTTAATACGGCTAATCAAAACCATGGATTAGAAAAAGATAATGATGAATTACCTAATATTCCATTACTTAAATTAGCTGAAGGAGTTGTAAAATCAGTTGCTGGTTCAATGTTTCATTCATGTGCATCATCAATATTGTTAATAAATCAAACAACACAAGTAAGTTCTCTTTATAAAATACACATTTTTAATTTATTAAAGTTTTATTCTGGTTTAATTTGTAGATTTTATGCTAAGTTACTAATGTAACTAACTATATGAAAACAATTGATGAATCAATTTGAAATCAGATGAAACATATAGGACATTGGTTACTACTTAATTATCAGGGGGGATATTTATCTATTAGTCAGTCAGTTACAACGTAAGATCAGGCACATATATGCATCGCTCCAAGTTGGCACACTTCATTAGCAATACAAGATTCATAGAAGTAGTTCACTCAATGGTGTAATATATAAAGGAAAGATTTTATGTAAGGATATAGTAAAGAAAGAAAGAATGTATATCTAGTTAGGAACCAATAGATTTCTTCTAGGTCTATTGCATTGATGATGATGAACTCTAGAAAACTAATGAAGATTGTGTTCAAATATATTTCATTTATTCATATGAATTCATCTCGTGGAGTATAATATTTATTTAGTGAAAATATGTGAGAAAATGTAACTTTAGATCAAATTATTTGTAAAATGGATAAGTAAAAACACCAACATATCAGTACTCAAATTAATAGTGCTATCTTTACATGTGATAGCCTTTTATCATCCACTTTATTGGAATCAAATCATGATTCCATGTTACCTATTATTTTAATGGTAGAATATTAAACTTCCAGCAAACTGATACAACTAGCTTAGCCTCAGTACAATCATACAGAATTAATTGAGTAGACTATAATTTATGGATGACTTTTGAACGGCGCAATAGTGACTTTAAGACAGCTCACTTACATACTAAAGTCAGATAGAATTATAAATTAGGATTGGAAATTATAGTTAGAGTTAAGGGTTAAGAATTAAATGAACGGTTTTCATCATAAACTGATATTGATATCAAACTGATATTTGATTATATGAATGAATGAATTTCGCATCAAAATTCAAAACTTATCATTGTTAACTTCATTAATTCATCATAGCCTCACTGAATAATCTGAGAATGCAACGAGTGTGACAGATACTTAGAATTGATCATGTTCTATTAAGTTTAGCAGTCTTCTTAACTGGTCGTAGCTTTTAGCATATGTTGCTTCTTGAATCACAACATTAATGCATGTAGTGTGTACCACTAATAAAATCAAGGTTACGTTTCTTGCAGTTTAAATCTACCAAGACATTGATCTAGAGATGCGTGGTATAGTCTCTGAAAAATTGTGAATTTACGGGTTTTTGAAATGACCATACACCATCAAAACTCCCCTACAGTTTGACTAATGCAGCTTGATTCTTCGGCTCAATAGTGCAAGTCCCAGTAACTGATGTGTTTTTTTCACATCATACAAACATAGTTTTTTTAATCAGTGATCAAGCTAATCAGTTATGGTTAGTATGAACACTTTAATTCTCACTTATGTTACTAACACAAAGGTTACATTTATTATTATAAACCATAGAGTTAAGTACTATAGCATCGCAGTAATATAGTACCTTGAAAACAATATAGTCGATTTTTTTTCCTGCAGTATTTTAGGTGTAATAACCATGGTAACCAAGCAGTTAGTAAGAAAATCCAAAGATATTTAAAAATTTATGATCTCTTTATCGAAATAGTGTATCGTACCAATGAATGTGGTTGATATCATGGTATTATTATTATTATTATTATTTCAATGTTTTAAAATAGAAGTGTGGGACAGGATATATCCCTGTTCGTTGTCCCCTTTATTATTTGTTCAGCTTATCATCTTGTATAATCTTTACCATCGGTAATCTTTTAATCTGGTGTCGAATTTCATTATATATTTATAAACTTTTTTATTTGTAGTCGACGCTTATTAAATAAACACATAATAAGCTTACAGTCTCACATAAGTCATTTAGTGATTATTATCTTGTCATATCATTTTACAGATGAGTAAGTTTATGGCTTAACCCACTTATTTAAATAGATAGTTGATGTATTAATAAAATAGGTATTAGTTTGTAAACGTTTTTATATGTGATTATAATTTAACTATTTAGAGTATAAAATTTACCAATGAAATACATATCTATGTTATATATTTATAACTTCACATGGTGACTTTGAAATTATTAACTTCTAGTCTGAGCTATGTTGGTAGATACAGACTACTTGATTGGGGTCCAGGTGACTATCGTAACCAATGGTTGGAGACTCTTGGTGACATGGCTCAAAATCGATCACAATAGCGTAGGTATATACACACTTTGTTTTCCTTTAAACTATGAAATTAAAATCACTTCATACCTTTCTTCCTACCAATTCAGTTTTTCTTCCTGTACTGTGTCCTTAAATGCAATCTTTCTTTTATATATTACCACCACTGCATTAACTACTTGTATGAATCCGGTGTTCATCTTGTTGTGCTAATGAGTGAGGTGTGCCAAATTAGACCAATGTACATATAACTAGGTATACATTGAATAACCTTTGATTGAAACTATTATTCAGTTGACGTAGTACTAAACTTGGGTAAAATGTATGAATAGCAACAACAAAATGAATGTAATTAATCTTTCATGATGAGTGGAGATTTAAAAAATTATTGAGTTTCTTCAATAATTCAAACTTATCTAATTCAAATTATTATTAAATTCTGAAAGCATTGAATGATCATTTCGTTCCAGTATAGGAATCCTCAGAATCGCATATGCATTACTCTCCCATTGAAATCGGACTTAGGACCTTCTAAATCCTGAATGAATAGGATATTTAATATCTAAACACATACGTATGAATTATTTTTTCTGGTTAGCGTTTTTTTAGTGAGTTGATTTTATACGGGATTTGGTCGTTAACCCCATGCCCAATCCTCCTCCTTTATCCGGGCTTGGGACCGGCAGTAGCCTCCGAGGGGCTCCAGGGTTGGAGAATGCTGGTCGGTGACCTATGCTTCTTTGGGAGTACCAGGCGTATGTATATATGTATAAAACACATGCGTAACCATCGGTTTTATTAACTGATTTGTTAATCGAAGTACACTATCTCCAGTTTGTATACAGTAATTCACATTCATTTATATAGGTACTTTGTATTTATGTAATGATAATAATAATTTCAATGCACAAATTGAAGTCATTCATTTGATTTAAACATATTTGAAATAAAGCAAAACTAGACTAAACTGAAATGGTGGATTACATTTTGCCAATTTAAGCGATAAAATAAGCCTATATGTATATATATAATCATATGGATATCAAACATTGATTATATAAATTTAAATTTTAAATCAATCAATGTATCTATATGAAATAAAGATTAGTTGCTATGATCATATATATTAAATATTAAGCCCTAGATACTGGCGTAAATTAGTATATTAAAAAAAATTAATTTCTGTTACCAAGTGTATTTAATTTATAAATTATTTTTTTATTAGAAAAAAATTGTTAAAGAAAAAAAATAGTTAAATATAAATGATTACTAAATAAAATGAAATAATAAGTAGTATAATTTACTATGTTTTAAAATGAAATATAATAGTCAATGTGGTTAATTTTTAATTTGACCTTGAAAAGTTATTCATCAATTTATTGATTTTATTAATAATCAATTTAATGGATAGTATTTCAATAATTCAATAAGATATTAATTTAATATAAGATTGATGAATATGTTGCCATGAGTTCTATCATTTGGCATTATTATTAAATTATATACTAGAAACTTGGTAATAATCATTGTTGAATTTGTAGGGGTATTCTTTTGACTTGGCATTTATTCATCTGAATCGTATTAACGTGTTCTTACATGATACCTCAAGGGATTCTACAGTAATTTGGAAGACTCTCCCGGTCTCCCATATTGTACGATTATTTCATGTACGTAAATAAATGGTTACTCTGGTTGTCAGAAAGGGCATCAGCCTTGTGACTTCCGAAGAAACTTGGCTTTCACCATGAGGTGTCATAGCTCTTCTAAATGAAGATCTTCTGACTCTCAAGGTAGAGTTTAAAAGGTTTGAATGATTTTTTCTGGCTAGCGTTTTTTTTTAGCGACTTAGCTTTCCATGGGATGAGGTCGCTAACTCCATGCTTAACCCTACTTCTTTATCCGGGCTAGGGAATGGCAGATGCTCCAAAGGGGATCCAGGCGGAGTTACTTCAGGGGTTGGGTAACCATAATTTTCATGTCAGATGTTTGAAGATAATACATAATTACATTGAAGCCAAAGTCTTCCAATGATTATTTCTAGTAAGTAGTGTTGATGTTGGTGTTTTCGAACCTGAATCTAAACAACAAAAATTAACTCATCTTTGCTAGAATCAACTTCCTGTAAAACTGAGATAAATAAACTGGCTGATCATTGGGTAGTATTCAAAGTTATTTTGATTGAAAGAGTTTAAACGAGATTATAAATAAACCAACTCCACACTATAGGCAGTGGAATCCAAGACGCACATTTCGTCCTATTTAGGATACATCAGTCGGGTGAATCTGGATACGAGAGTCACTTATCCAATGAGTCAACCCTCCATCTTTACGTATATTACTTGTGACTTAAGGGCAATATCGAGTCAATCTGCTCAGGATACACATTTGCCAATAGACATTTATCAATCCCAGTACTAAACATCAGTGTGAATATCTAGACATCTTACTCCTTACTTACTTACGCCTGTTACTACTCGTGGATGAGCATAGACCACTCACCAGCATTCTACATCCAACACTGTCCTGGGCAATCCTTTCTAGCTCCGTCCAGTTGTAATTCATCGGTTTCATATCTGCTTCTATTATCCGACGCAATGTGTTCTTTGGCCTTCCTCTTTTTCGCTTCCCTTCAGGATTCCAAGTTAGCGCTTGCCTCGTGATGCAGTTTGACGATTTGCGTAATGTATGTCCTATCCATTTCCATCGTCTTTTCCTAATTTCCTGTTCAGCTGGAAGTTGGTTTGTTCTCTCCCACAGAAGGCTATTGCTGATGGTATCCGGCCAATGGATGTTGAGTATCTTGCGTAGACAGCTATATA